CATGCCAAATTGTAATGTCTTGGTGGGATTTTCTCAGGCTAAAAATTAAAATCTTATTTTAGCAACAGTTCACATCAATTATATTTGAATTGCAGTTCTCAGTGTCAAAGTAGGACAAAACCACAACTATGTGGGAATTTTAGAAAAACCCAAAACTGAACACGATAAGGAAACTATGCGAGTTATTTCTTCTTAACCTATCAGTAGAAAGGACTATAAATTTCTTAGCACAACACTGCTCTGTCTGCTGAGGAGTTACCAAAAGGCATGCACATATATATCTTTATTTTATATGACTAAAACCAATGCCACATAACATCAATACAGCCACAAAGAAAGGTTAAAACTGGAAACTAAATATAAATGAGAAAGCAGGTAACTAAACAGGCCCAAAAGAAGAAAAGCGTTCTGCAAAATGTTCAGAGGTAGTGACAGTGCCAAAAGTTACAGCATAAAAATCACTAGCTTCGCTGTAATGCTGAACTTAAAAGGTCACCTTGGAAAGACACAGAATGACGCAGTTTTTTTCCCACAACTTCTGCAAAGCAAACTAACTAGCTACCAGTTCAGTAGGCGCTCTCATGGTATCATCAACACCACTGGTTTCCTATCTGTGGTTACAGGTGACTCTCCTTTTGGGTCAAACTCCATATTAAAATACAGAAGGTATACTCTCTCCTAGAACCAATTAAAAAAAAATTAAGTATCATGATAGTTTTTGGTAGTTCCAAAATTGTGTCAAAACCCACAAATAAAAGCATCCTCAGGGGACCTTTAAAAATTATTTTAACTCAATGAATTAATTGATTTGCTTTTAAATTAATTCTACACACAAGAAGTCAGGGCTGGAAGATTAACATACACATATTGTGGCCCTAATGGAGTAATTTGATCCTTATGGGCTGATTTTCTGTGTGCGCAAATCCTGTAAAGGAACGCCAGCATGCTGGACATAAGTGCAAGTATCGCAGCATGCATGCCAGACTGCGGCGTAATGGGCCAAATCTTTTAGTTACAGCGAGCTGCAAGCGCCAGCAGCGCAGAGGCCATTTGCAACTGTGCAGCGCTGCTTTTGGGGATGGAGGTTGTTCGTCTGGCTTATATATGCTGCGTGCTATGTACAAGTAAAATCTTGATTAATCTCTGTCAATTTTATTTTGGGGGGTAGAAATACCCATATGATCAAAAAACAGCCCAGGTGAAAGAGCAGAATGAGAACTTCATTTCTTGTGATTCTGCTTGCCTGCTGAGGTCTAAACATCACAGGATATAAATGATGAGTGAAAAACTCAGGACTGCAGCACCTAAAAAAACCTAACAGTAAGATTCATTACATAGAAGGCCAAACAGACATCCACAATGTGTCTGTACTGCAGCCACCTCACCCCTCCACCTGCATATGCTCCAGACAGAGACTGTCTTCTGGAGTTACCTGTATCAAGCTTTAAATGCAGTAATACTTTGTCTTTGCTTCTTCCTCAAAAATAATTCAGAGATTTCTTTCCTCCTTCCTGGAGATGCTGATATCCAAAGTAATTTTATCAAGAGAGCATCAAAGCCCACAAGTTTAATCAGTGTCCATTAAAACTACCAGACTAGTGTGCAACATCCCCTCCCTATCAGGGGATGGGACCGAGTGTCAGTCCTGGGAAAAAAGTCCCCCCAAATCACCCCACCCCCCCCCAATGGATATGTTTGGTACAATTTAAAATTAAACACTTCTTTACTCCTCAGTTTTTACACAATGGATTTATTTTCATTCAGGGGCTTCCCACGAAAAGAGATCTGTTTGTTTTCTCTTTCTTCAGCAGAATTGCAGAATTCTGGATTCTGTTAAGGCTGCAGCTTGCAAACAAAATTTGTATCTCCTTTCAAGTATTGACTAGTCACATGTTCTCAAAGGACCAGTTTCAGGCAAACTGCTTACACAGATAACAACCTCTCTGAAGACTGGGAAATTTCCCTTTCCATTCCACTGCAATTTAATTCTTCATCTGGGGTGTCTCTTCTAGCAAACACAGTATCAGCGCCGTTTATACTTGTATTAACATGCTTTGAGTTGTATTTTTTCCCTGTACGTGCAGCAATAAATTTCAAGTCATGAGCAAGCTGGTGTAACTCTGGGGAAACAAAAATTGTACTAACAGAAACCCCACTGAGGATATTTCTTGTCGTTGCAGTGCCTTACATTCAATGATTTGCAGTTACTCCCCCGTAAGTCCAATTCTCAATAGAAGTGAAATATACTGTAGGAGCCTGAAGACTGTGTAAATATAGCAGCTTTTGAAATAGCGAGTTTTAACCGAGAACACTACACTGTATAGTTACATAAGTTAAAAATTAAAATCTGGCTCTACTCTCTCTATTGTTCTCTGTGCTCAAAAGGAACAATATTCTTCTGAAACCCGCCTGCAGCCAGCAAGGGAGAGCCGCACTTCAGCAAAACAATTTTATCAAAATCTAAAGGTTAGGGCAGAAAGGCGTCTCAAAGCAAGTGAAAGACATGACATCAATTTTGAAAGACATAGAGTTGCTTCTCCCCGCTAAATCACCTGGAGTGAAATTTGGGAAGTCCCTTCCCCAAAAGAAGAACTGTCACTGATCACTCACCAGAGGGCACGGGACAAGTAGTGGGTGCATGTAATATATAGATTAATTCTACACTGGACCTGTGTTTGGACTCTCATGTATGAATTGTGGATATCCTTTAGGAGATCTGCAAGGCCTCCAGGAGAGACTCCCCACAGTGACTCTTCCACCGTCTTGATTTCTTCAGGGCTAAACCTAGAAAGCCACATTCCTTTTCCAAGAAACATCCATCTATAAACAGAAGATTCCTCTGACATACATCCTGCTACGGGTTCAAATATACCCTCTCTGGCTATCATTAGCTTGTTTAGCTTTTGACACAGCGTAGAAATCTGTAACAGGCATTCAAGTATAAAACCCAAAGCCTGTAGAGTCAAATATTACAGCAGAAAGAAAAATAACTGAAGTCTTACGGATTCCAGTGCCTCATTTTGGCCATTTACGTTCATGCTCAATTCCACCCAAACTTTCTGGTTTTCGCCTTTTTAACCCTCTAAGGGTTTACATAAAGCAAATCCAGCTCTGGCAAAGCTGCTCACAAGTTCACCAGTGCCAGTTCTCCTTTGAGTTGGGGATAGCAATAGAGATGGTGTCTCCTCACAATAAAAACTAACACATAATGAAAACACAGTAATTTTTTTTCCAAACGTATGCAAAGACTGTATTACAGATCAAAAGAAATATCAGAAAGTCCCTCCTCAAACTGCTGTTTGAGGAACAATAAACAGCCTAATGGTCCAGAAGCTGAATCAAAGCAGAATAACAAATGCTACAAATAATTGTCATCTATTCTGCAGAAAAGGTCAGAAAGTTCAGAAAGTTTTCTGCAGAAAGTTCCCACACAATCCAGTGCCACCACCTGAAATCACAATGCCTCATTCTCAGTAAATACATTATTTCCTCAAAACATTCTTGACAATCTTGAAAGTTTTAACCCACAACGGATCAACTTGACCTCCTGGGCTTGTGAAAGTCACAAGCAACTGGTGCCACCCAAGACTGGAAAAGCTAATGCCTAAATTAGGGAAGAAATTTTTCTTTCCCCTCCCTCTCTTCAGCTCGTAATAAATTGGACAAAGCAGTCTGGGTACAGTGGCTTCTTTCCGGTCATCCAATGGCAAACCGCAAATTCCCAAGTGCACTTATAAGGAAACCAGCCAAAAGCAAGCTTCAACATCCTTTAATCAAAACTAACATCTTAACTCTGACACAATCTGGATCTTGGCTAGAACATGTACTGGACATGGGGGCATCTACCAGTAGCTCTCAAGAGCTAGTAGAGATTTATCCTACCTTGGTTGTCTTCACAGCCATCAGCTGTTCTGAACAGTTCTGAATACCATACATAACTAAATGCCTGAGAGACTAAGACAATTCAATTGGCAAGGAATAAGGTCTTGGTAACATCATCTATGTACAAGATCTGCTCTCCATTCCCGCCCACTGGCTTCCTGTAGAATAAAGCATAAATTCTTATTTTCAAAATGTCCTGGTTTCAAGATCCCTAAAAGACTGTTTCAAGTTCTGTGAGACAATCACGACCAGCAACTTTGGTATCTAAAATAAAAATAATTCATCTGTACAACTAAGATTTTCCTGGAGACCAGCTCTAGACAGTGCAGAGAACTCTTACATAAACCACAGACCATTATCATCATCTGCTTTAAATCGAGAATGTATTTATTCAAACTTACCTCCCATAACAAACCTATAGCACCTGCATTTATACAGGCATGTTCTGTAACTACATACTACATAAAAGGCTTCCAAACCGAAACGTTCCTTGAAATACACTTCTTAAGACCAAACATGTGACTGATGTTTGTCACAACCCATACTACACCACTGTAAATTATCCACCTGTCAAGTGAGGCTCACGCACCTAGAGGCTCCCCAGCACAAGCCTATACAGAGTAATATGCTACCACCATCTTCCGCTGCATCCGTAGCCGTCAGTCTCGAGCAGGAGAATTTTAACACTGAATTTGAATTTTGACAACTTGGAAGCCAGAACTGAAATAAAACCACATACACCAGTGGCACTGACAACAAGAAAACATGGAACTGCAGAGAAACAGCAACAGAAGTTCCCATTACCAATGCATCTCTTCTTTCTCCTCCTGGTGATGTTCAGAGCTTTTCGCCCACCTCACAGAGTTCTCAAATTATTTCTTCCCACTAATGTGTCTCATTATTTCTCCAGTGCAAGACTGCTTACAACTCTTGCTACAGTCAGGGTTGTTAGATGGCTGCTGGTTAACCCTTTTTTAGGGGTAGAGTATGCACAGATCTATCTCCTTAAGAACAAACAGGCAATCTCCAGATCGGCACAGAATTATACCCACAACTTCCCACAGATAAATACTCAACTGGATAAAGTGAGACTGACTAAAAAACACAGCTATTCAAGGTATTTATAATACAGGACTCACTTGCTGAACACTTAATTTAAAAATTGTTTCCAAACCTACATTTTGGTAATGACTCCTACGTTCAGTAAATGCTCTCATTTCACAGAAGTAATCAGTTTTAGCAAGCTGCAATAAAAAAAGAAAAATCAAAATGAACTAAGAAGCACTATGAAACAAAGTATTACCAAGAATCGTTCCTCTTTTTCAAGCCAGCGCTGATCCTCTTCCATCTCTTGTTGTTGTCGTATCAATCTCTCCTCCATGAGATGTGTGGGTAGAACCTGGCCCATTCCTCGTATGTCCAAAGTGCCCGAATCCTACAAAACAAGGTAACTTTATTCAGTCTCACAACTTGTAATTTGAATAAACAGCTGCAAGAACGTATAGATTACAAAAGAACAGATTTTTAAAAGCCCAAATGCAAAACAGCAGTCCAGCCAAGTTTCTTCAACTGCTTATAAACTGAAGCAGACCATCAGAAGAAACTCTTTCCAACTACAAACATTTTATCTGCCTTGCTCCTAATCACTGGAACCAAAAAGATTTAAAAAATTCTGTCCTGTTTTTCAGTAATGTTGTCACTTCATATATTGCACTTCATTTAAGTTGGACAACTAAAACAGATTCATCAATTTCGTTTTCTTGGTCTTGAGCAATAATAACAATCCAGTTGTTACAAGCCAAGATGAATTTTTTTTTTCCCCCAAAACAAATATGCTTTCCAGTTTTAGCTGACACTTGCAAAGCACGTCACAAGAACATTTTTAATGATTTTTGAATAAGTTTTTATGCATGTCTTAAGCTTATAATACTGAATATAACATATCCCAATGTTGTCTGGAAATCATGAGCAAGTAGTATATAAATTAGTATTCTTAAAGCAGCCAAAGGGGAGTTTGGTAACAAACTTCACTGAGACTGTTTTTAGGTAGCCAAATTCCCAAGCTTTTGTGAAAACTTTGGCTGTAACTCATTATTACAAACATGTGCAAAGCATTCATATCCTTGTCCCTAAATTGGTTGGACTGGATGATCTTAAAGGTCTTTTCCAACCTAAATGATTCTATGATTCTATGATAAATTGGAGATATGTGGATTTAACGGATGGTCCACTCGGTGGATAAGGAATTGGCTGAGTGGTGGCACTCAAAGAGTTGTGGTCAATGGCTCAACGTCCAAGTGGAGACCAGTGACGAGTGGCGTTCCTCAGGGGTTGGTATTGGGACTGGCGCTGTTTAACATCTTTGTCAGCAACATGGACAGTGGGATCAGGTGCACCCTCAGCAAGTTTGCCGATGACACCAAGCTGTGTGGTGTGGTCAACATGCTGGAGGGAAGGGATGCCATCCAGGGGGACCTTGACAGTCTTGAGAGGTGGGCCCATGTGAACCTCATGAAGTTCAACAAGGCCAAGTGCAAGGTCCTGCACATGGGTTGGGGCAATCCCAAGCACAGTTACAGGTTGGGCGGAGAACAGATTGAGAGCAGCCCTGCAGAGAAGGACTTGGGGGTGTTGGTTTATGAGAAGCTCAACATGGCCTGGCAATGTGTGCTTGCAGCCCAGAAAGCCAACCGTATCCTGGGCTGCATCAAAAGCAGCACAGCCAGCAGGTCAAGGGAGGTGATTCTGCCCCTCTACTCTGCTCTGGTGAGACCCCACCTGGAGTACTGCATTGAGCTCTGGGGCCCTCAGCACAAGAAGGACATGGACCTGTTGGAGCGGGTCCAGAGGAAGGCCACAAAGATGATCAGAGGGATGGGACACCGCTCCTATGAAGACAGGCTGAGACAGTTGGCATTGTTCAGCCTGGAGAAGAGAAGGCTCTGGGGAGACCTTATAGTAGCTTTCCAGTACCTGAAGGGGGCCTACAAGAAAGCTGGAGAGGGACTTTTTACAAGAGCATGTAGTGATAGGACAAGGGGTAATGGCTTTAAACTGAAAAAGGGTAGATTTAGATTCAATTTAAGGAAGAGATTCTTCACTATGAGGGTGGTGAGGCACTGGAACAGGTTGCCCAGAGAAGTTGTGGATGCCCCATCCCTGGAAGCATTCAAGGCCAGGTTGGAGGGGGCTTTGAGCAAGCTGGTCTAGTGAAAGGTGTCCCTGCCCACGGCAGGGCGTTGGAATGTAATGATCTTTAAGGTCCCTTCCAACCCAAATCATTCTATGATCTATATGCTTCCAACCAACACTTTATTCAAGCACAACACAGTTAGACTAAGTTGTTTCTACAGTCAATAATCTACAGGGATGTTGAACTACTTTGGACTACAACCTTCAACTATAGACAGTGTGAGCAACAGCATCACAGCAGCAAGTTGCAATGGCAGAATATACGGCCAAATCAATCAATCAAGAGTAAATAGAGGCAAATTGAAGACTTGGACACCTATCTGTTCACCTGTATTTAACAAGTAAGCCTCAGTTATCACTGAAGTGTTTATCAGAGGCAGGGAATAGAGCATTGGTTAGAGAGGAAATGGATTTAAGACAGAAGCTGCACAAAGTGATTCTTTGTGGGAGGAGAAAATGGAATGAAAAAAGTATAAAATAATGGAGGAGAAGAGAAAAAAAACGACGGAAGGTTAAAGGGGGAATTAATTTGATGTTCCTTGCACCAGCTCTGTGCAATCATGACAGGCTGAAAAGCACCTAACTGGAGTACAACTCAAGAACAGTTTTGCAGACCAATTCATTTTCTGTTCTGAGTAAGTTACGGAGAAGCCTCAGATACTTTAGCTATGCTGGATATCTCCATGAAAGGTATTTTTAAGCAGTAATGATACTATGTATTTTTACATGAATGTTCCCATCTCTATTAACAGCAATAAGTTTCAGTAAAGCCTTAACAAATACAAAGTATTTGCTATGACTCACTTAGTGAAGATAATAAGTAGTAATAACTTCATCAAGAATTTGTGTAAAGAGTACGCTTTATGCCCAACCTCACATAGAAGGATTTGTTTCAAAAAGAACAGAATTCAGCCATTACTCCCATCCCACTGCAGTAGGCAATTTAAAAAATACCAGAGAAACCATTTTCCTACAATGTCCAGATGTATCTAAATAATAAAAAAGTGTATTTACTGTACAGAGTGCAACAACAGATATGTCAGTTCACGATACCTCCATGTTTGGTTGCCACACTGATATTTCCTGAGGCCGATGGTTCCAGGAATCTGCTTGATCCAAGAGAGAAGCCTGCCCAGGATAAATGCTGCCTGCCATGGCTGGTATCCCATGAGAACCGGGGTAGCCAGACACCTTGGGGGCAAGGGGGAGAAAAAAAAAAGAGTTATATTAATAAGACCTATGCTTCCCCATAATTAATAGCTTCCCCCCCACCAAGAAAACAAATATGAGAGTGCAGAAATGACTCAATTCAAGCAGTCACTGAGAGGGAGGAGGGGAAGCAACATCAGAAGAAGGAAGCCAAGCCAAAATATGACACAAACCATCTTTTTTAAGTCTTTGAGGATGCCTATCATAACATAACAATAACTACTTGAGGATAACTAGAACTATATATAAATATATAGAAATATAACTTTTGAGGACAACTGTAACTATTTGAGGATGTTTATCAAAAGAGCAGCATTAGAAAGTATGTTTTTAACCTCTGCAGCCAAGAAGATCAAAGTCCTCTGATGAACAAAAATAAACCTGTTGATACATTTGTAAGAGCTACACATGCAGAGCTCAGCTACACATGCAGAGCTCGTATTCAAGTTAATAGGAGCCTGCACACATCACCCTACATATAAAAATGTACCCCCTAGTGTATGTTACAAGCTTAAGTCTTGAGTGACAGCATGTAATTAGTGTGCTTAGCTGCGCAGCCTGAGAACTTCTCCACAGGAAAATCAAAGTAGTTTTAATGACTCTGAAGTACTCATTAAAACAATGAAAACCTCCCCCTCTCCATGGAAAAAAAACCCCCAACCTCAACTGAGACTGCTGTATATGGCTGTAGCTTTGAACAAAGCCAAGAATGCTTAAAGTACTTTCATGACAAACTTTTGTTTTAAATTTCTTCAGCAGTGTTAGGAAGAAAAGCAAAACCTGTGAGTATATGATGTGGTAGATCTAAAGGCGGCTATCAGCCAACAGAAAATAAAAATGTTTCAGAGAATCATCAGGGAGCAGAGTATCAATAAGCCCAAGGAAAGTCCATTAGTTAATGCCATTTTATAAGGCAAGTAATTTTATAGCTTAGCACGAATGTTAACATGAACACCACATTCCTTCAATAAATACAAAAACGTCTGATGCGTTTCATTGTAGTTTTTGGAATCTGAGCACCATATCAGATATGAAAGTATTTGCCATCTGGAGTAAACCTACCAGGTTCAGTTGGGGATTGTTCTGATGTAAAACAAAAACCATTTAACAGAACTGAATGAAAATAAACCACGTAAGAAGCAAATCAATCCCACCAGCTGCAACTGAGTTATATCCCCACATTTGAAAAAACACATGTACAGTGTTAAATGTAATACCTGGTAATGATTCGGCTGTACCATATGCTGTGGACTTGGATAAAACCCTTCACTGGATCTTGGACTGGGGTAACCAGGCCTACTGGGCTGTAAATGTAAAGGAATTTTTAGAGTCTTTAGAAAGAGAAAACTATAACCAGAAAATTACTCTTCAGTGAGACAAATATTTATAGGTGGTGCACCACAAAAGCAAGCTCAAAAAAACCCCTGAAATAAATATTCTAAAATGACTAACAGGTTTTTTAAACAACTAAAATTAAGTTTTCCTCCATTTTTGCTTGGAAATGGAAACAGCTGAATTGCATGCTAGGTATGTCAATAAATAATGCTTGCTCTGTGAATTCTTTGTGCATATTTAATTGCTTGCACTAAACGACCTGCTCTGTGCTGTTTAACTCTAGAGAAGACATCAGCTAAGAACACAATTCTTAAATCACATTTCCAGGTGCAAATATAGCATTGTTTCTAAGTTCACAATATGCAGTACATAAAGTTTTGCTATTAACTTGTTTTTGTGACTGATCCCAAAAGTAAATTGTTTTGCTTCAGTCAGAACACAAATCAAACTGGTTTGTTTAGCGTGAGTATTTCCATGTGTTATTCTGAGGACTAAAGTTAGTTCTGATAATTAACTTCTGTGTAACTAATGGCCTCAACATGGAAGGTGCTTTTGATCATATTCTGAACTCCATGGTTGCTTCATTACCCATGCTTTGTTTTTCAACCCATTCCCAGCCAAGAAAAAACAAGACAGAACTAGCTCCTATTAGAAAGGACAGCTAAAGAACAGCTATCAAGAGCCTTTATCGACTAACTTGCTTTACCCCTTCAGGAGAACGGCAATACTTTATATATAAAAAAGCAAGATGTATAATCACAGGAATACCTGCAACAAGTCACCAGAAATTTGGACAGCACTATTACAAAAAACTGCATGAAGAGGAGCCTGGTTTTCCACACACATTGAATAGATCATCCTTTTGCCAGAATAGGTATAGAAACTTCACACTACTGGAAGAAGTAATGTTGGAAAATGTTGCTCAGAACAACACACTTTTATCTTCCAAGCAGAAGTGTTCTGTCATCTTATTGGATATTAACCTCCAAAGGTGTATTTGGGTTTTTTTTTTGATGAGGAACAGTGCTGCCAGGAGCTTCAGGAGGAAAAAAATTAACCCCAGAGGGACCCCCCCCAACACACCTCATCATTCTGCAAATGGCCTCCTTCAGTCCTTCTGGCAGTTAAAGGTCACCACCACATTACTTTGAGATCGCAGAATTTTATCATCACTTTATGAAAAATGTCATTATCATTCTGTACTAGGATCGTTTTTGTCTTATGTTACTAATTGAAATCACTATGAGATACAAGTAATTTCATAGTACAAATTGTGCTATCTGTGAATTCTCTGAGAACGTGTAGAAGTTAAGGCTATAAATAAAATGAAGTTTAAGCCCTATATATATAAAGACCTGAAACTTACATAATGAATTCTTGGAAGAAAAAAAAGTCAGTTGTCATCATTAGAAAATGAGATAATAAGAGATACTTAAAATCCCGTATCTATGAAATTCAACTCGTTCAAAAGACTGTATAAAAAACCATAACCACCAACTGCACTGCACATACAGTGAGGACATACTGACCCCCTCAAAAAAGTTATGCAGTGGTTGAATTAATTTCAATCTTAACTCATCTTTTGTCAAGTGTTTCAGTTTCTACATCACACCCAAAGCTCTAATAATGATTATTTCTAATACGGTATAGCTCATATACTACATTATTAAAAGGTATTTATTCTATTTGGATTAGTACCAAAGCTTCAGGACTAAACAAATTCTTCAAACAAGGTTGTAATAATCAAGTAGCATACTGTTCCAATTTATGCAGTTTATCTGCTTCTGTAACTCGGAACATTGTCCGTTTATGTATACACCAAATCCTGCTAGTTGATCTCGGATGACTAAACAGGTTGATGGATGGCTTGCTGTTTTCAACTCTGAAATGAAAGCAAGAATTCCACTGCCTATATTTCTTGGTTGCCATAAAGCTATCAAAGTGCAGAATCAAGCTCAGAAATCTATCAGGCAACAACCTGGGTACGGGGAAATGAAACAATACAAAAATAAGTTGCCTTCCTACGACTGTTGGGGGATGTGTGCAGCAGAAGGTGCCACACGAGTACTACTGCAATCATTATCAGCACCAGAGCTTGCGTACAGAGCTGCAAGAATTCCCTACAAGCTGATCAGGATGCAGATAATATTCCACATTACAGTGGTGACTGCACAAAATGAAATTCTTCAAAATACAGGCTTTACCCTTCAAAGCACAAAATAACTCTGATGAGAAGCAGACAAGTTACTGAGAGAAGAGAGTGCTCAGCAACTGGTGAGGTTAGACTACCACAGCTGCAGAACACATCAGTGACATCCAAACAGGACAGACACGTAATGAAACAAAATTAAGTGCAGAAGCAAACCCCTCATCTCCTGTCCAGAATTAAAAAAATGCAATTAATTGATTTCTACGCTCTCACTGATGTTTTATAAATAGACTTCACAGTGGCCTGGGGGCTCACTAGCTAATGCTTCATAGGAGTGCTACAAGAAAGAAGAATGAAGAAAAGCCCAGTAAACAATTTTATGGCAACTATGGTAGTCTTTTACAAGTTAAACAACGAGAAACAGAAAATTGTTAGTGCAATATTACAGCATGGATCAGTTCTAACAACAGTTCAAGTAGAGCTGGGTCATTTCAGGTAAGTATTACCAGATGATGACAAAATTGGCCAGAATGCCATTGTTTGAATGAACTTGTCAAAAGAGGCTTTGAAGAAATAGATAGAATAAAAAGGGTTTGTTTGTTTTTTAAACACACATAATTTGCAGTCTTAGCTACCTTGGGAGGAGCTTCATCTGATCCTCCTGAGTCCCAGGATACTGTGACTTGTCGCCTGGATTCCATTCTCATTCGTTCTTCTTGCTGCAGCTTCTCTTCCTCCAGTATTGTACTAAGAAAAACATATTATATTTAAGTAAAACTCCAGTTCAATGTCTAACAGACCTCTCCCCAGAGCTCGCACATTTTTCAGACTAATCAATACTACTCCACAAAGCAATTGAAAACTGAAACACAAACTGCCTTTACTTATATTGGTTAGGTTTCTGAAAATCAGTATCAGGAAGAAATACTTCTGCAGGATTACCAACGTGCTTTTAACAACAGAAGCGGCACCAAGTTTTTAGAAAGTTGTGGTTGATCTTGTATAAAAATTTTTTTGCATGTTAACAGTTCTTTTGATGTGTAATTACACAGAGAAATCCTCAAAGACAATAAATCGAGCACGCACTTGCACAAAAACCTACTTTTCACAAGAAAGTATTCTACTGAACTGCTGCAAAGGTTCAAAACAAACCGAAAATGTTCTTTACTGAAACTCAACAGAGCTTCAGATCACTGGGATTTTTTTCCCTTTTTAAACAAAGCAGTCAAAAAACATTTTAAATACTGTGTTTTCAGCTCTTACATTTTAGCCTAACCAGGAACACGTTCAGCAAACAAATCTAACAAAACTGAAATATCTGACTCAGATATTCACTCAGCTTCTAAACATTCAGGTCAAAAGGCTACATTTTCAACAACGTACAAGACAGTAGTAAAAACTAGTTTGCTACTTACCACTGTTCTGCCTATTAAAAAGACTGAAGTTCAATGTGATACTGCTGCCCCCACAGCAGCCTCCTCCCAGTTCTGCTATGTGGATTATTAATGTTGGATATTTGCCATTTGAAAAATACTCAGAATGAAGCTTTGAAATAGGGAGCTGCAAATTCGCTGGAGCTGCACGCTACATGGATATTCTGGAGATGTGAGTAGGGCAGATTATTTACACATATCATGTCCCCAGTGTAAAGATAATCCTGTGAAGGAGCTATTCCAGCTTCTTTATCACTCAACGGTTTCGAGAAACAAAGCTGGGTTCTGAGTTTATCATCTCCTGTTCAGTCTGCTAAATAACCACCCAGAATTACTCATGCAGGGGATGAGATCAACTACAGCAATCTATTCTAATCTTGGAACTTTACTGCTTATTTCAAGAATAAATTCCTGCTTGGTTGGAGACAAGAACTTTGCTTTTCCTTACTCAGCCAAAAAAAAAGAAAAAAAAACTATGCCACTTCTAAAAAGCAGAGAAGTCATCTCGTCTCACTGCAGCTAAACCAAGTTTGTAGTATTGCTGCAATTTCAATCCGTCATTGCTGAAGCAACACAAGAATGTGGAACAAAAAACCCAGACAAGTTACTTGCAAAACTCACCCTGATATAACTACCACAGAAACACAGCTACAGCCCAACGGAGGGAACTAAAAAGAGAAAATCTTTCTATTTTACCTCTCTCTTCCTTCAGAATAAGGAAAATGAAATATTTCCTACTTGAACCCACTGCTTTAAAGCTAGGTCATGCTTCAGATATTCAGCACGCATTTTTATGTAGCATAAGAAACCAGCCAACATGCATCCATAGCCATGAACCATGATTATGATCTTTCAAGAAATACCTCAAGATTTAAAAAAACCACAACAAAACAACAGGAAAAAAAAATCCACCCAGACATTGCCTGAATAAAACACAGATTTTTAACAAAGCTGTTGATACAGCAGTTGCTCTCATCTGAGCAAAAGAATGGAGCAGGAGTTGGCTAAAAGCAGCTGACTAAATTTAGAGATGGCTTATTGACAATTTGGGGCCATGGGTATAATTTGTCACAGCACAGTCCTTTTTTTCCATAAAAAGGCATGAAACACCAATACCTTCCACCTTGCTATCAAAGCCATTTTATATATGGTGTCACAGTATTCAATACAAAACCATTAACTTCAATCATATCACTGGAAATGACAAATTTCTACTGAAATGACCTGTCTTCCCATAACATCGGCTCAGCTTTTTGCCTCACAACGCTAATTCAGCGCACCCTGCTCTTCCATCGCCTGTGCCATCAGGAGGTCCTTTCCCCAGCAACCCAGTAAGCAGCCTGGTCAAAGGCTGATCTGCTGCAGCAGAATTTGTACTTGGATGCCCTTGAGTACTGCTGACAAGAATATAAAGTAGGAAATGCCTCAGAGAAACATTACTCGAAAAAACCCAAAGAATATAAATGACTCACAGAAACTTCTTTGTTTTTACAAAGGGAAGACCAATCCATAGACAGAGTAAAAGCATGCCAAGAGATATTTTTGACCTTTTCTCAGTGCAGCTGCCTAAGTACTCTGAACAGTTTATTACAATTTGCAGGAGGTCAGGAAAGTCAGATCCAGGCATATTTTCCCAAACTGCAGATATTTTTAGCAGCAAAGAGGAGCAAGCAGAGAATTACTTCTATTCATATGATTTCCCTAGCAAATCTTGAGGTAGTACAGACAAACTTAACTCATCTTCTTGGCTAGGTTAAGTCTGATGAAAAATCTCAACTATTAAAAGCCTGCATAATTGATAAACTTACTTAATTTACGAAGGATCTTTTTACTGAAATTGGCCTGTGACATTGAAAAGGAAACACTTACGGGGAGCTTTAGTGTAAGAATATCTGAAATACTAAAATGTATCCTTATATTTCAAAAGGCACAGCAATACCAGTGTTTGCTGCTGTGGTGGTGCAGGAACCACCAGGAAGTGCTGACCCCGAACAAGCAGCTTCTTTCTTTCTCTCTGCAGTCTCCAGCCACCAGAAATGCAAAGCTAGGTGCAGATGAACGTATTTTCACATACTGCTCTAATTTAAAAGCACTTTCATATGGATTATAGATTATTCATAATGGTCACTGTCAAAGAGCAAAAAGCTAATGAAGCATTTTGCAGCCTCTGTCATGTATTTCACATATGTGCTAAAATATTTTTTTGGCAGGACGCCACAAAAGGAGAAGACTCAAACTGCCCTCACTTATCGGTTTTGCTTCTTTTATTTATAAGCAACATTTCAGCACCTACATCAAATGCAGTCACAAAAAGGCTCAAGTCCAGTTCTCATCAGTTAATTATCTTACTGTTGTCATAAAAACAGACTTTAAAAGCACGAATAAGTCTCTTTTTTTTCTGCATTCTTTTTAGAGCTGTATGTAATATGTGACTTGCAGTGCTGGGATGCTAGTGGGGTCATCCACGCTGTTAAAACCTGTGCTGCTTCATCACTGACCTACAGAGCCAGACTCCGACTCTTACCGCAGCTCTTTATTTTGCTATTTTTAATAGACAGAAAGCGTTAGCGATAGGTACTTCATACGAAATCCTTTCAATGATGCAGTGAAAGTGTCATGCAATTACATTAATTTGAAAGCTCAAAATTAAAATCCAACCTAACCTCCAACACAAAACCCCCCAATTTTAACAGAATTACCAACCAAAGGGACACCCAGCGCACCACAACTCGCAAGCACAAGCCTGGGAGGTGACTTACAAGCAAACCTGTGAATATACCGGTGCTACCTTAGCAATACGCACACCTACAGCGTATTGAACATAGCACAGTATAAATTAAATTTAATAATACATGCATGTATGAGATAGTCTATGGTTATAGTGAGTGTACGAATATAGTATAGTAAGTGTATGGTTCTAGTAAGTGGCTAGGAGTCATTCTGAGGAAAAATGCTGTGTAAGTGACACCGCACGATCTGGGTACATTAAACACTTTGCAAAGGGCCTCTTATATTATTTACCATGTAGCGCAAGACTAAAAATCTCTTCTACACAAAATCAGCAAGGCAACACATACTTCCTGATTAAAATACCACAAATTCTAATTCTGGCCCAGTCTGCAACAGAATTGCAGGAGTAGCAGGGTAGCACCTCACTTTCCTGACTTATTCTCACTTTTACCACCCCTCAAGATTGAAAAAGGGACCTAGGACGCGAGGAGGAATTAAATTTGTAAATCTACAATCCACCCATTTGTTTCCGTTTGCTGTGAAGACTAACTCATCCCTATCCACTTTGGACAGATTAAATGCTATAAAATATCAGGCCTTATTACTACCCTAGTAACACTATATAAATTCTACAGAAATCAGCATCTTTGCATTGTACAAGCAGCTGCAAATAAAGTTTGTGCAAAGCAGATGTTACTATGAAATGGGAAAAGCATCAAATAACAAACAGAGAACACATGAAATGCTTATGCTCCCATCAGTGCTATTTCAGATGCAGACAAGAAGTTTTTTCCCAAAGCCACGGACTTTTTCTCATTAAAACAGAGAGGAACGTTGCGGTGCTGTATCATTGGCTTCAAGCAAACAACTAGTCTGCTCTCAGTTTGAAAAGACTACCCTGGAGAGGATCCAGAATGAGCAGCAGCAACACCACACAGAAAAGGCCACCAGGGAAATGGCTTGTTTTTGCAAGTTCATGGGAATTTGAGTTTTGAAACACAATCTTTCCTAGCTGCCTGAGATTGCCTCATCACAAGGGAATTGACCACCTCTCCAAGAGAGGCTGTCTCTGTCTGTGAGCGACACAAAGAAGCCCTAAGGACGACTGTGCTGCCTAACTTCCAGGAGGTAAAGGTCACCAGTTTGGAGTGGCAGGAAACTCTCTGCTTTGGTGAGAAGAGTAAAAGCTGCATTTTGGGGTTGCTGTGGCCCCTGGAGAGAGCCTGTTCTCCCAACAATGCTTCAAATCTCCTAGCATGACTGGAGGAGCAAAAAAACACCCCTCTTGGCACATTTTTCATCTAGAACCAGAAAATTGTTTAGGTTGGAAGGGATTCCTGGAGGTCTTGAGTCCAATCTCCTGGTAAAGCTGGGCTCCATGCACAGCGAGGTCAGGTTGCTGGGAGCCTTTTCCAGTCACGGTTTGAAAGTCTCCCAGCATGGAAATTCCAGAGTCTTTCTGGGAGACCTGTTTCAGAGCTTACCCACGCACACTGCGAAACATTTTGGTTTGTAACTAATGAGAATTTGCTGCATGTCATGAGCGTTGGTCCTCATCCTTTGGCTGTGCATTTCTGAGGAGAGCCAGGGTCTTGGGCACCAGTCTATCCTGTTTATCTGGCGATACTGTTCCACGTCGTTCACTTTTTCCCCCTTTCCTCCTCCTGACTCATGCTGTTGTAAGTGTTGCTGCTGTCACTCTCTCTCCGAGCACAGCCTATATTTATTTCACCCCCCAACACAATTACTTTTACTCTGTATTTACTCATCCTCTTCCTTTCCTGGTGAGATACTCTCTCTGCCAGGGTTTACATACCATAGGCATCTTCCCAGTCGCATTTTTTTAGGGCTTCATTCTGCTCCGTGCCAGTCAGCTCTAAGTTATCAGCACATTCTGACTGCAAATTAAAAACAACCCTATTCTTCCAGAGCCGAAAAAAAAAAATTGCCAATTTCTACTTATTACCCAAATCACACAACTATGTCATATCTTCGCCTTGCAATCCCTACCAAAAGCTTTACCATTTCTTCCTTTGCAGTTAACTCCACACAGACAGCAGCATAAATTCTTTGTGAGAAGGGCTATGTAAATTATTAGTCTACACAGGAGCTCCCAGAATGACAGATGGCAGAACCATAGGCCGTTTTAAGAAAAAGGAAAAAACTTAAAAGGCCGCTAAGTTATCCATACAGCAACTCTGAAACATCATCATAATTACATTAAAAATGTCCCTTTTTTAACCACTTATGAATTATCTTGTACCATGAACATCCAGTGACAGCGCAAAATGATATTATGAAAATAAAACATGCCACAAAGCACAACTGTGAAACAAGACATTAAGATAAAACTGAAGAAATTGGCAATAAATTACAACAAATCCAAGAGTGGATTTACCGTGTACAGTACCTACATTATTTTTTGAAGCTTATATTGACTTAAGCAAGAGAGATAGTGAGCACTCATAAAATCCCAAAGGTGATCACAAATATCAAATTTGTCTACACAATATCTCAGTAATGTTTCAAAGTTTAAATATCACTTCCGTTTTGTGGCTCATGACATGGAGATATGGACGCTGGAATTAATTATTGCAGAATAAACTAGGGTGTGAATTTAGACTGGTCTCAAAAGCGTGTGGTCACATTTATTCCAAGATAAACATGAGGTAGTCTATATCCTGGTTTACAAAGGGCGAAGGAATTTCTAGTTAATGACGCTGCGTTTATTGCAGGCTCCGCAATTGCGCAGACACAGCTGCTACAGGGCAACTGGTGTGCTGCATATGTTATTTTCATAACTTTCAACAGCATTCACCTGATGGTTCACTCACTTAAGAAAGGATACATTCCTACCCCAAAACTGTACATTGCAGGTTTGAGTAAGTAATCCCTCTAAATTCTTTCTACCCCAAGGATTGTAGCATACATAACTAAAATTATAAACAACTCACTAGTAAAATCTGAAGTTTCTCTTGGGACACAAAGGTGACTCATATTTCCAGTTATTTGAATTTACTGCCTAGTCTAATTTTCTCCAACAGGTAATGTCTGGATTTCCAAGAGAGTACCAACAACCTGGCCTTCTGAAGATAAAACTTAATAGCCTGCATCTTGCATTTGCCACAGAAAGAAAAAACTGTAACAGAAGATACAGTGAAAATAAATATTTCTGAATAAGGAAATGACCTTTCAGAAGTATAACCCTACCTGAGTTGTGCTTTAAGTTCAGTAAACCTGGGTCGTCTACTAGGGTCGTATGCCCAGCACTTGGTCATAAGGCTGTAGAGGGTAGGAGGGCAGTTTGGAGGCATTGGGAGCCGCTCACCGTTCTCAATTCGCCCAATCACATCATTGTTCTTCACTCCCTGGAAGGGCTTTACCCCATGCATTAGGATCTCCCACATACACACACCTGAGAAACACACAAAAAAATTTTCCCTAGTGTCAGCAAACAAGAAAACCTGTTAAAAAAAGAAAGAAACCCCAGTTTTGTAGAGCCAAACAACGCAATTTCTTCTGAAATGTATAGCTAGGGAATCAGTTTTGACTTACCGGCTGGCAGCAGAGTGGAGTGATGTGCAGCAGGATTATGCACGCAGTATCAACCTGAACTATTTATGAGGGAGCATGACCCACAGCTGGCTCATGGCAGCCTGGCTTCACATTTAGCTACCTTTTACCTATTGCAAATCAGAATGGTTGCTCATATTCAAATCTACTTTTTTATGAGGTAGAATGAGCTGTGTTTGCTTTTCCCTTTGACTAGTTCCAACTGGCTTGTTTCGACACGTAGAGCGTATTTTCACTTTGAGGGTGTTTTAACGCTGGCATTGATCCAATTTTTTTGTGTTGAAACTATGTAATAAAACAGTTTCTGTTGAAACTATGTTAAAAGCACAAAGGGAAAAATGGTCTGTCAGTTTAGGATTGGCCACAATGTTCCATAGACTTCATTTTTCTAACTCTGACTGTACTGGAGTTTTTTTTCAAACTATTATAAACCTGCTAAAATTCACATACCCTTCACTCAAAAACATTCAAATTTTATTTTGTAAAGAGGGTGAACCTTTACTTGTCTGCCCTGCTCTTATTTCAAGTCTCATCATCTTTTTTCTTTTACACAGCCTACCTTTGTTCTGTCTGTCCAGACCAGCAGTTTGGACCAGTCTGAGCACAGGCGATCAGATTCATATAAAAACTTGTACATTTAGGAAACAAGATCAATGCTTCAGCATATTCCCATTTACCCTTATTTTTACTCAGCTTCTGTCATATTTTGTGAGCTAGCAGGAGCTATGAAAGACAAATTAAGTGGGAATTTAGCATTAAAGGTCTGGAAAGAGGACATCATGTAGGCTGATCTATGCATTAAGCAAGGAAGCAGGCATATCACCATAAAAGAAAAAGTGAAAATGCAAAATAGATGCAGCAAATAACAACGGTATTACAAAAAGAAATCAGAGGGAAAAGCAACAGTAAAAAAAAATCATCTCCATTATGACTATGACCTCATTTCCTGTACCTTCATTCCTGTCAGCTTCTTACTACAAGTGAAAAGGCACATGAAACTTGAGGCTTACCGAGTAGAAAAAGGAAAGAAAAACAGAGAGATGGAAAATGTGCTGGAAGAAACCGTATTTTCAGAAAGTACAGTAAAAACAGTGCCACATACCTGGAAATTATTCATTTACAGTAGTTAAAATGAAACACCGAACTTCTCCAACAGAACACCGAAGAAACCCCACCGTTTGATGTTCACTTACCAAACATCCACACATCGCTAGCTGAGGTAAACCGTCGGAAGTTGATTGACTCTGGAGCCATCCATTTGATAGGCAATTTTCCTTTGGAAGCTACAGGGAAGGCAAGACAAGGCAGGCTTTTATTCCTGCTACTGAGCTCAAATACAGATTTTGTTCTCAGGGAAATGATTCACAGGCAAAGCCCATCTCCAGTGAAGCATTTTCAACTCTCAAATTTTGTACAAGAAATTTCTGCACTGTCTGACCACTTCTCCTGGTAGTCCTCTATCTAGAGAGAAGAGCAGCAATTTGCCTAAATATTCAGACTGATTGAGCTCTTTTAAGTTAATTCGTATTTCAAGATGCAACTATTGCAGTTAAGAAGGTACTGGCACCAAATCTGAAACCGTCACAAAATCTCAGCAAGGGAGTACGTGGTTTTAAATGACTAGTAAGAAAAGGGTAGGTTGGGTGGCCTTACATAAAACGGAACAAAGAACCAACAGAAAACACAATAAACCCCCAAACCTCCCAATAAAGCCCCCAACAACAACCCCAGAAGCACAACGAGAAACGATCGTGTCAAAAGTATTCCGCTCTCCTCTTGGCAATTAAAATGATGATATGTACCTCACAGGGATATGAGATAAATGAAACGAGGAAACATAATGGAGTGTAAGGGGACAGATAAAGGATATTTTAAAATATATGACTGAACTAGAAATATATTGAAGATTAGATTTATGAGTACATGGTTTCATAATATACACCAGATTTAAAATGCTACTGTTTGGTACCCTCCATGCAGTCTCTACTCTCCTGCTGTATTTCCCATCTATCAGGCACTGCAGGACGTCTCACAGCTGCTGGAGCCACTTAAGATCAAAACGGGGGAAAAAGTAGGCTTCAAAGACTTTTTTGTACTGAACCTCCTCCCTAGTCCAGTGGCATCTGAAGTGTGCAGCATACAATGACAGCACAAACTCAAAATTTACTGCTAGGTAACCTTGAACTCATTGTAAGCTACCTATATTATGCCATGAATATGAATATTATCTCAAACAAGCCTCAAACGCAGATAATCTAAAAATCGTAAAGAAAGAACTATAAGCTTGTCCTAAAAAGTGGAATTTTACCAACGCATTAATTTCCTACTTTTTGCAACTTAAATCAGACCTTGTAATTCTTCCTTCTTAAGTGCACTTGTAGGAATTTAACTGCCATCTATTAAATTGTTCAATAGCTTGCCTCTTTATACAAATACAACAGCTAGACCAAGAAAATCTGGTTAATTCCTTTTGACAACAAACTCAGTATTGTGAGAAGCAGTTGTGTTCTAACTGGCCTGCAAGAAGGATCCACAGTGTCAACTTACCTTTATAGTAAGTGCTGTCTTCCATGTATCGGGATAAGCCAAAGTCACCTAACTTCACACAGTCAGTGGCAGATACCAGCACATTTCTAGCAGCAATATCCCTGCCAAACAGAGAAGACATTCTTTCTAGGCATTTAAAAATGTAAAGTGGTAAACTATCATTTGAAAAAAATTATTGAAACCCATAAGTATGAAATGCCTTTCAGAGGACTGAATTATTTTTCTAGTCATGGTTTGGGTGTGCATCTACAAAAAAAAAAAAGACAACTATGTATTTGTCTACTGATTCTGAGAAGCTTGCAGAAATGCTGCAGTAGGTTTGATCCTTATGAGTAATAGCTGTTGTCCGAAAGCATAACCGTCAATGTCAACATCAGAGGAAAAAGTTTTACTCTTCATCTACTTAAATATCACAGGCTAACAATTTCTGGCGATTAGAATTGATGGAAAAAAGAAAATCTGCCTCCTGACCCTGCAAAGGTAAGGAATTGGTTTAAGATCTCAGTCTGGCAAGAGGCTTCCTAATAAGGAGCTTGGTTTTTAGTGATGTCACAGGGATTATGAAAAGACTTGGGCATTTTTCTCCTGCAGTTTTCCAGGTGAGACAACCTGCCTTATGTGTCTGTTGATTCTGGATTTCAGCAGGCGTGACTGAGTATTGATTTAGCTTTGAGCAGTGAAGTACAGCAAACTGAGCGGTGCTACTTTCTCCCATTTCAGGACTGCAGGAATAAGTTGTATTTTGAAATTTTATTGGTAGAGTTAAAATAAACAGCTACTTGGCCACAATGCAAGCGTCTGTAACAATCATAAGGGTCTGTTATTTACAATGGTTGTATATATACATATCTATGTATGTATACATACCTAATACTGACATATACATGTGTTTGTATGTACAATAAATACAACACGTATATAAAATTCGAACTAAGTATTGAAACACAGATAAAACGCTCAAGTTCAAAATGAAATGGTACATGGTAACTGCAGTGTTTTGAACTTTTAATTGTATACAATAAGAGGCTAAAGCCAGCCTCTTCTCCCTAGAAAGCTCATGTTCAATTTCAAGGGAATTCAAAACACACCTGGAAGGAAATTTAGGTTCACTTTCTGGTTAAACAAGAACTTGGATTTTATAAATATTTTGTTTTCTCGGTTCTTTACTTAAGAAGCCGGCTGCCCCTTGTTTTGCTGTCTGTATTGGGAAGATTACAGCTTTAAAATAATACTGTAACCACAAAGCAACTCAGCTGGAATGTATTCCGATTAAAATCCGGCACCATCTCCGCGTCAATCTCGGAGCGGGCCAGCAGGTGTCACTCTTGAAAAGGGTGTCATTTTGGTGGCAGTGTCCGAAAAAATGATACCCTAATATGGGGACTGACATAAAACAGGTAAGTGGATTTTAGGAGTTTCAAAGTATTGCTGCTACACATTCATCATAAGTCAAGGAAAAGAAACACAGAAGGAAGGCTTCAAAGAATCCAGCTATGTGTTGTAAACGTTTTGTCTTCACTTGAGCAAGCGTATCTAATAGCCAGAATACTGCCAGTCAAAAATTTGGTAATCTACAACACCTCATATTCCCTGAAATTTCAAGAAGTTACACATAAAAATACACACATACGCACATATACATGTAAAATCTTACCTATGTACAAATCTTTTGCTCTCTAAGTAGGCAAGTGCTGTGCTAAGCTGGTAAGCGTAGAGTATCAGAGAGGCCAGATCCAAGCTGTATTTTCTTACTTGCAAAAACGATCTCAACTTTTTGCAGAAAGAAGGAAAAGGACAAAAAAAAAATAACAAATCTGAACAAGGTGTATCTCAAATTGTAAAGTTTACACGAGAATCAATGGGCATGCTTTCCCTTAAGACTGGATGAGAAAAGAAAATCACTTGCCATGAAGAAATTTGACTCTGGGTTAAATTCAAGCAGTTTTTTCTACATGAAAATGTTAGCCAAACAAAAAAAAAAAATCGTGCATTGCTTTCAGGCTCCTTTTGAAGGCTGAGAGCATATGCTGCTCCTGTTCCAGAGTAAAGCACTCCTGGACTCTTCATGCATTCTTCCCTTGAGAACTGCAGACGTTTCTGGCCTAAATAATTTCAGAACAAAACAGTACATGGCCACTCTGAACACTGAATAGACCAGTATTATTTCAGAAGCACTAGTTTTAATCTACATTTGCTCGAACAACTGGATTTAGGTCAGAGTAGCCAATATCAATGCAGAATTTTTATAAGCTATATTCCTAGTGTAAGGCAGTTAGGGATCTAATGGAAGGTGGCACTAGAGTCTCCTTATAAATTACAACAAGGCTGTGAAAAGCGATTTGGCCACTGGAAAGGAAATCTGTCATTTTTTGACAGAAAATTATTTTTCCACTACAGGTTTTTCTGCCTTTTTTTTTTTTTTCTTGGACAACATATTGCAGTTTGATTATTACAATGACTATCTTACAATGCAGTATGAAATATCACTTTAGCTCACATTTTCAGAAACAGTTAGCTCAAAGAAAACAATTTGATTATAAAAACCGAGATCTAGTTTTGTTTAAACCATTCATCCAAAACACATAATAATGAGGAAAGTCATCTTATCTAGGGTCTCTGGTGCAGAGACTGTACAGAAAAAAACCCTAAGAAATTCAGCGTTCCAAGGGAAAATGCAGTATTGCTCAAGAAGAACAAAAGACACATAATTCCACTTCTGGAAGGTATGTCTGCAAATGCTGTTTAAACGATATTGCATTATCATCATCTTGACACAGGTCATACTCTCACTCTGAAACAGCAATTGAAGTTCTCTGAAAACGATGACTAAATCCCTTTGGTATGAACTGATGCAGTTCCCTCAGTGGAGGAGTTAGGTCAAATTCTGCCACTCCTGTTTCTGAGTCCATAATTCTACAAGTAAGCATGATTCCACGTTTGAGGAGAGTGCCTTTGTGTTAGTGCCGAGAAGTGATTTTTTCAGTCTTTTCTAAAGGTATCTGTGAGCTAAACCAGAGAAGACCAAAGTTACATGAGGATTTTTCATACCTCTCCAAGTGTACAGAGCTCCATGATTATCCAAACTGGGTTTTCCGTAATAACTCCAATGAGCTTCACAATGTGAGGATGATCAAACTGACGCATTGTTACTAAAAGGAAAAGAAACAAGTTGGTGTGTTACATAAAACCTTTTTTTAAAATAAAAATAAAAAAGTCGGTTAAGAAGCATTTAGTCTATGACCAGAAAATATAATCACAGTTCTGCAGGACTTGAAACAACTGCTTGCAAGCAATACCGTCTGGTCATTTAATGTTCTGCAGGCAGTATGAAACACTGCTTGCTTTAGTGGTACTAGTCTCTACTCACAAAAAGTAAACTGCTGTGGAAAGTGCAAGTCAAGTCAGGCTCTCTGGCTCTTCTGCCCTGGCTGAGCATAAGATAACATAATGACCTATCAATCCCGTGCATGCTCAATTAACCTGTGCCTTTCTACTGGAAGAGGAGGAAGGAAAAAACAGTATGTATAATTTAATGTCTGGAAAAAATGCGTGTCAGTTTATGACACAGACAAAAAGCTCATTTAATTATTATGTTCACATCTCATTTTATTTTCTATGGACTTAATTAACTTTTCAGTCTCAGCAGTGCGTTCACAATATATGTGATGCAGCAAGACATACAATCATAGAATGGTTTGGGTTGGAAGGGACCTTAAAGATCATCTCGTTCCAACCCCCCTGCCACGGGCAGGGACACCTTCCACTAGACCAGCTTGCTCAAAGCCCCGTCCCGCCTGGCCCAGCATGGGGCATCCACAACTTCTCTGGGCAACCTCTTCCAGTGCCTCACCACCCTTATTGTAAAGAATTTCTTCCTCATGTCCAATCTAAACCCTCTTTCAGTTTAAAACCGTTGCCCCTTGTCCTGTCCCTACAGGCCTTGCCTCTGGGCAGCCTGCTGCAGTGCCTCACCACCCTCACAGTAAAGAATTTCTTCCTAATACATCTAACCGAAATCTACCCACTTTCAGTTTAAAACCATTACCCCTCGTCCCATCACTACACTCCCTGATAAAGAGTCTCTCTTGTCAAATCCACGTCTCTCCAATTCAGAGACAAGGATGTCATGTGGGACAGCGTCAAATGCTTTGCACAATCCAGGCAAATGATGCCAGTTGCTCTTCCCTTATCCACCAACGCTGTAACCCTGTCATAGAAGGCCACCAGATTTGTCAGGCACGATTTGCCCTTAGCGAAGCCACGCTGGCTGTCACCAATCACCTCTGTTTTCCATGTCCCTTAGCACAGTTTCCAGGAGGATCCGCTCCATGATCTTGCCGGGCACAGAGGTGAGACTGACGAGCCTGTAGTTCCCTGGGTCTTCCTTTTTTCCCCTTTTTAAAAACGGGGGTTATGTTTCCCCTTTTCCAGTCACTGAGACCAGTCTGCCACAATGTTTCAAATATGATGGACAGTGGCTTAGCAACTTCCATCTGCTGGTTCCCTCAGGACCCTCAGATGAATCTCATCAGGTCCAATGGACTTGTGCACCTTCGGGTTCCTTAGATGGTCTTGAACCTGATCTTCTACGATGGGCAGTACTTCATTCTCCCAGCCCCTGGCTTTGGATTCTGTGAACTGGGAAGCATGGCTAGAGCACTTGCTGGTGAAGACAGAGGCAAAAAAGTTGTTGAGTATCTCAGCCTTCTCCATGTCAGCTGTAGCCAGGTCTCCTGTTTTGCTCATTGGGGAGGTACAGTTTCTTTCATCTTCCTTTTTTGTCCTATGTACCTAAGAAACCCTTCTTGTTATTTTTCACGTCCTTAGCCAAGTTCAGCTCCAGCTGTGCCTTGGCTTTCCTGACCCTCTCCCTGCACTCTCAGGCCATATCCCTATAGTCTCCCCAGGCTGTATATCCCTGCCTCCACTGCCTATGCATTTTTTTTTTTGTGTGTGTTTTAGTTTGGCTAAGAGGTCTTGGCTTAGCCAAGCTGGCCTCCTGCCTCCTCTGCCCTACTTCTTCCACATGGGGACTGAGAGCTCTTGTGCCCTAAGAAAAATGTCTTTAAATATCTCCCAGCTCTCGTTTTTTCGTTTGCCTCTGAGGGCAGTTTCCCAAGGGATGCCATGCACTAGCGCCCTAAACAGCCAAAAGTTTGCCTTTTTGAGGTTTAGTGTCCTGACTCTGCTTTTTACCCATCCTGTACCCCTCAAGATTAAGAATTCCACCAGGACATGATCACTACCGCCCAGGCTACCTCCAATCTTGACCTCTCCCCTAAGTTGTTCTTATTAGTGAGCAACAGGTCCAGCAGTGCCTCTCCTCTGGTTGGGCTCTCCATCTCCTGTACAAGGAAGTTGTCCTCAATGCACTCCAGTAGTTTCCTGGACTGCTTGCAGCTTGCTGTGCCTCTTTTCCAGCAGATGTCTGGGTGGTTGAAGTACTCTACCAGGAACAGGACCCGAGAGCGTGATGCTTCCTGCCGTTGAAGAAAGAACTCTTCATCAGCCTCCTCTTCTTGATCGGATGGCCTGTAGTAGACACCAACCACGAAGCTTCCTTTGTTGGCTTGATCTCCAATTTTCAGCCATAAGCTCTCGACCTGCGCATTGCTGTTCTTCAAAGATAGCTCTGTGCAATCAATCCTGGTTTTGGCATAGAGGGCAATTCCCTCACCTCTCCTTCCTTGCCTGTCTCTTCTGAATAATTTGTAGCTGTAATCACAGCACTCCAATCGTGCGATTCATCTCACCAAGTTTCTGTGATAGCAATCAGGTTGTAGTTTTCCATCTGGGCAGTGGCTACCAGCTCCTCCTGTTTGTTTCCCATGCTGCGTGCATTGGTATAGAAGCACTTGAGCTGGGCTACTGGCCACATCCCCTTTTTAGAGGAGCTTGCTCTAATTCCCTTGAGGCAATTCACAGGGGTTTCCCTGTTGCTTCCTATTGCTTCAGCAGCCCCTGACTCTTCTTGAGTGCTTAGAACACCACCCCCTTCCACCACTAAATCTAGTTTAAAGCTCCATTTTGTAAGTCCAGCCAGCTTATTGCCCAGGACACTCTTGCCCCACTTGGTCACTTGAGCCCTGTTAGCTGTCAACAGGCCTGGTTTCTCAAAGGTATGTCCAAGATTGTAGAAGCCGAGACCTTGAGCACAGCACCAGCTATGCAGCCAGTCATTCACCTGTTCAATTTTTCTCCTTTTTCTTGAATCCCCTTCTCCAACTGGGAGGACAGAGGAGAACACCTGTGCTCCCAATCCCTTTAACATCATTCCAAGGGACATAAACTTTCTTTTGGTATTTCTGAGTTGCCTCGTTGCAGCATCATTTGACCCTACCTGGAATAGTAGGAATGGGCAATAATCTGCAGGCTTTACCAGGCTCGGCAGCCTCTCCATGACATCATGGATGTGAGCTCCCAGCAGGCAGCAAACTTCTCTAGAGATATTGTCTGGGCAACAAATGGGCACTTTGGTGCCTCTCAGCGAGGCGTCTCCAATTACTAACACCCCACATACTTTTCTGCTGGCACCGGTCCTAATGCGGGTGGGTGGTTGGACCAAGTTTGTATGGTTGGCCTTTCCTGGGTCTTGCCTGTTACGCTCTCTTTGATCTCCAGCCCCAGGACATCGTATCTGTTACACAGGGGCACTTCAGGGGGAGGGAGAAGATTCCTCCTCCTGCCCTGAGCACAGACAAGAGTCCAGTCTCCTTTGTCTCGTGAATTGGTTGAGTCTGTCGCCTCAGGGTTGGAAGCGAGCTTACCTTCCCTTTGCCAAGTCTGAAGGCAGGGCTGTCGCTCAGCTTGTGACAGTGCACAATACCATGCATCGATCTCTCGCTCAAATGTCCAGATACTACGCTGCCTGTTAAGCTCCTCTTGTGACATGGCCACTTGCTTGAAGAATTCCTCCAGCTGGGCACGCTTGCACCCAAGACATCCACCTCTGCCTTTGGTCCCTAGGGGGACTTCCAGGTTCTGGAGTTCCATGAAACTTTGGGTCTGGGCAGCTTTCACTTCTTAGGGGAGTCAGTCTGGTTTTAGGTGTCCACATAGAGAGGTTTTATCACTTCCACCTGGGTTTCAGTCACAGATTTGCAGCTGCAGCACATGGAAAACATTTTGGTGTTTGCACAATCCAGGTAGATGGAGGCTGCCTCTGTCTGGCTCCCAGAAGAAAAGAGCCCGTTTGCCGGAGGCCGCCCTCCCTGTGCACCCTTCCACGCAAACTGCCACGCCACGCCATGCCCTGTTTGGTTGCCCTGGTCGCTGGTGCTCCCTAGGGACTGCTTTTACAGACGCGGGGGTTGGCCAAGGAGGCTCCTGGCCCCGGCCAAGCACTGTCAGCCACTCTCGCGATAGCTGCCAGCTCCTGGCGGCTCTCTCCACAACCCTGCTGTTGCTCTAGTTCAGGAAACCCCCCTGGACAACACGCTCCTCCACTTTGCTGCAGAACACGTCAGCAGGGAGCTGATTGCCTCAGCGAGTGACTTGTTAGTGGTAGTTACACCACATTTAAATCTCCTGGCATTGCTCCTGGCCCTGGCCAAACCTCGTCAGCTGCTCTCGCGACAGCTGCCAGCTCCTGGCATTGCCACCGTTTAGGAAACCCCCCTGGACACCGTGCTGGAGCGCTCCACTGCCCATCGTGCCGGCACCGTAGCTGCTTGCCTCGGTGACTGACTCAATGCTGATTAATGTTTTGGGGAGGTGTATTTGGTAGGTTAAATGAAACATCAGTCCTCTGATTAAGTTTTTCTCTTCCAACGTACGCACGACAAATATCCTTAATTTAATCTTGAAGAAGTATCTCTTTTACATTTACAGTTTGTAGTGTCAACAGAAATACACAGTAATCACCAAACTGGAACGTCTGCTTCAGTTTGCCTGAAACTGGACAAGAATAAAACAAGCTACCTTTTAGCTTTTAATGAATCACAAGCTAAAACCAGCAGGTGTTTTTTGGATTCCTCTTCTAATAAGCTCTGAATTCTTATTGTGTCTACTGGTACATGGCAGCCATATAACCAACACCCCAAATCTCAAGAAAAAGTCCTTGGACAATGATGTTTATAAGACCTCATATGTAATAGTTCAATAACATATTTTCCTGAAAAAACCCTTGTATGGGCAAACAAGATAAGACATTCTTTAAAAGATTAATGTGTTATGAATAATACAGAAAAAAAAATATCAGTAAAACAAACATCCCTATCAATGACATAGCTCAACACATTAATAAAAAGGAATGAATAATGTGGTGAAATGTCAAATGGGCAATAACAACTGCTAAACTACTATATCGAATTGAAGCTAGATTCTTTAATCATTCAACTCCTCTCTTCCCTTTCGAAGTAAATGGAATTTCAGAGAGGGAAGCTATTTCTGACACCTTGAAAAACTATGCATTGCTAAATTAGTTTATCTGAACCCAACGTCACTATTAAAATCTTGATAAATCAAGTGTATATTCCAAACAAACCCCAATTATTTAGCTTTAGAGTTCTCTTGTGCTAATCTAACTCAACGCAATTTACAATGTCTTGTACAATGGAAATGTTGCTTCACTGCTGTAAAAATGAAGCAGGAATACAATTTTAATTATCAAAGCAATGGAAAGGCAATTAACACAAATAGTTTTATATCATATGGTCTTACCAGTTTTAAACATAAAACACGCCATTATTGGAAAGTACTTCCCAGAAATTAATTCAACGTTAGCTGACAAGTTCACAAATTCAGAAAGGTAGTAAAGCTGTTATATCATTTTGTCATCCACCTTGCAGAGGTAAGAGGAATGAACTACTTGCAGAACGAAGCAATTTACCGAAGGAAAATCAATAAAAATCTCCCCAAACCAGATGGTTTGTATTTTAGCATATACAAGTACATTAATAGTAATACGCTGCTACACAAAAGCAGACAGGAATGAAAAGACAGGTGCTGCTTTTAAAAACATCTTCTTTTGTCTATTTTTTATACTGAGGTGTTCCTCCTTGCAAGAATCAATACTAAATCTTTTCAGCATTGAAAACTCCACCGCAAGCAAACAACTAAAACCCCCAAATATTTTAATATTCCTAGTATTAAAATAATATATTAGGAAATAAATGTCTTAGTTCAGTGCAATAACCAACTCTGCCTCCCAGATGTTGGATTTGGGCCTTTCGAAGGGTGCTTTTAAAAACCAGGAGGCAGTATCTTCTGAGAGAGTTTGCAATCTGAATGCAAACAAGAGAAAGGTAACAGATGGGAATTAAAATTTAAAAAAAAGAAAAGAAAGAAGAAATGGCAAAACTATTAAATCAAAATTGAAAAGCACTCTTTATCTGTCTACTACATTGGCATTTCCTAATCTGTCAAGCTCAAAGCATAATAAGGAGCATTCAATGAGCAATTATTTTCTACATTGTTAAGAGACAGCAGCCTACCTTTGACTGCTAAGTTATTACTACAAGCAATGGTATTTACTTTTCCAACAGCTAGAAATGTAATAGAAAAAAATTATAGTAATTTAAGAAAAATCTGACATCCAAAAATAAGAAGCCATTAGCTACAAACACAGATTTTCTGAACAATTAGAAAAAAGTCCTTGAACAAAGGAATAGTGAATAAAAGTATACTGTAACATCTGGTCATAACCAAACAATTTATTGATATAATACAATACCTTTATGACATTTATTGATATACAATAATAGAGGATAATAGGCGAAAATTAAGACCTAAGTCTCATATCTCAATTTGCTTATAAAACCAAACAGTAGAGAAACCAGTAACTACAACATTCTTACAGCAGTTTTCTGTTAGTATTTATCTCAAAAAAAAGCCTTTTACAATATTTAATATTATATAACTAAATTATATTCAGTAATACGCTGAAAAAAGTGCTATAGGTTTTTTTAATTCATTAAGGAGAAAGAAGGAAATAGAGGATCAGATCTCTAATATTCCAAAACTAGTTCTGAAGCCTGACAGGAGCCAGACATCCCTGTTCAACTTAGAAAAATCAAAGAACCCACACAGAATCATATACATGGGCAATGCAAGGATGTAAAGCAGTGTTCCTGGCACATACTGCAGGAGAGAAAAAGGTCATGCAATATATTAACAGAAGATTTACATTAGTATCAGAAGTTTCTGGCACAGATGGCTGCAGTCTTTCCAAGGACCAGTTACAGAAGCTACCCCAAAAAAAGTATTTTAGTACTCACAGGCTTCTTGTAAGAATTTTTCTCTCACGCTGTCTGAGGTGCAGTTTTTACATGTTTTGATTGCAACAGCCATAGCTGGATTTTCCTGAAAGACATTATTGAGAAATAACTGAAATACAGCCCACCAAAAGCTAAGCCCTTAAAAATTCTAGCAAAACTGCTTTAGAGAAAACTACTATTAACTAAAATATCTTCAGTTAAGAAATACTATTTTGAAATATGTTAACATATTATTTAATCAAGACACCTTGTGTACATTTACATCTAATGAGCCTAGGAAATATCTAATCTGTTTTAAACTATGTTAAATAGTACAAAAATTATGACAAAAGACAGTAAGTTTAACTGAATAGTACTATAAACTTTTTGCATTATTGAGGATGGTAAACTCTTGACAATATTTAGTAAAAGCAGAGGAAACAAGTAGATATATGCCTAAAGAACACACTTGGCTCATGCAAGCAAGCAACCTGGAAAGCCAAATAAAGGACTTTTTGTAACTCTGGCAGAACAACTGGCTATGTTTGAGCTCAAACTACAAAGGAAAGTAAAATAAAGTTTTTAAATATTAGCTTCACAATCAGTTATATCAAGGGCTTAAAACCAAGTTAAGCAGAACACATGTATTCAAAATCAGAAACAGATTTTACCATCTGATTGCTCATCCTCTGAATACTGAAAAATGAGAAGCACCGAGAGAGCCCAAAAGAGGTCTCCTGGTTCAGACAGCGTCTTTCATCTTCTTGTGCTTTGGTGTGTTTTACAAATACCCTTTCCGTAAGTTACAGACAGCATAGAGAAGCTGCAAGCATTTTTCTCCTGGAAAGAAGCTTTAGGTGTTCGAGCTTCACCAGTATTCAAAACACCATGACTTACTTAGAAAATGGTATTTTTACAACATAGCGTATCCCCACAGTAACATGCAATGCTCAGAAGATGTCACTCATATACATTCTTAATTGGTTGAAAGCAGCTGAAGTGTTTTAAAATTAAGCTTCTACATTAGGTATAGGCCTGCTCAAGGACTAGCATGCCTTCCTTCCAACTGGGAAACTGGGAATTGTGCATTGTTTAATGGGAAGATTACAAAAGAACCTTTCCCCAAAAGGCTACCAAGTTGATGTACATCCTCAGCAATTTTTTAAGGCCAGTGAGAGCTGAAGATTCAGAGTTATGCTCTATGTCTGCTCATGCTTGCTCTATTTTAAATCTATTTTTACAGACAAACCTCAGAATTAGAATAAAATTTATATATTTTCAGGCTTAAATGTCTATTTTCTAAGTTACTCAAAACATAGCTCTTCAAGCTGACTTTGCAAGAAAATACTGATTAAAACCTTCTCTCATACATAAACATGCCCATAAACTGACTGAAAAACTGGTGGTAAATTAAGATGATTTTATTCCCTTCTGAAATCAGGAGTCAGTAATCAGCACTGGATGAGGCCGCTGGAGGCCAGCCAGACCAATCCTTCTCCTGGTGTCACGGACAGTTTTTGAAACATCTCATAACCGACATTAGCATCAAAAGGAAGAGTTTCAGTGCCTGCAACCAGCAAAGACTCCAGACATTTTGCAAAATAATTGTAGGAAGAGGCCTCATATCAGGGTTTCGCTGCTCTTTTGGTTTTGGATAAGGAGACAAACCAGTAAGGATTTATCAGACTGGCAACAGTTTGCGTACTGAGCAGCAAACACTATTTTAAATGACACTTTTGGATAATCCCACCGTAAATCATCCTTAAAAAATAATCTTATTTGAATTGCTTACATCTGAGCAATAGGATCCTATCTGCATACATACATTTTCCATTCAGTATCCTATACATACAGGCTGGTTGTGCTATTTCAGGAATACCTAGTAGTAAGATGCGTTCAAGAAGAGGTGGATGCTGCACAGTCACTAGAGTAAGAACAAGTGCAGCGAACAGGGATAAATGAGATTTTTCAGATACAAATTTGTGCTAGCAGAACAAGAGGCCAGAAATCTCCCCGATATTTTTGCATGCGAGCTGAATACATACAAGGATGGAAATGCCGTCACATTAATGTAACTAATCTTTTATCTATTGTAAGATTTCTTCCAAAAGTTTAAGTTACACTCTGTGACTAGTACATTAAATTTTAATGATAATACCTTTCTGTTTTCCCTTCACATATTCAAGTGTCTTAAATGTAGTAAAATTTCATTAATAATCAGCAGGTTGTCATTTAAAAAACTTACCCTAGACACAGGATGACTGACTGAAATGTTTTCCAATTCAAGAAAAAGAATGGAGAGAGACAGCATTTTCAAAACAACAGTCCCTAAGAAAAGGGATCTTTAATTGGTTTTACAGAGCACTAGATTTATCCACTGTGCTCCAAGTTCACTGAAACACTACTCCTCAAGTACTCCTATTAACTTGGACAGGATTTAATGAAAAATAAGGAGATCTCAATGCAAAATATATCGGAACTGCTTTTCTAAATGAAGGTATCAGAACAGACATATATAACATTTATCCTTATTTATTTACTTAAATACTGCATTAAAGATTTATTTATTTAACCCACTGAGCCCAGGATGCTAACCAGCTGTTTCTGGGAAATACTGTTTCTGAAGTCAGAATTAGATTGTTGTCCACGTGAATTATTACTTCATCTGTCGAAAATCCAGACACTTAAATTTCTCCAAAAGAGAAATAAATCTTCATTTGACACTTGCACACCTAGTTTATTACTACCTTGAAATTAGTTAAAATGAAGTAATTTTCTGGTTTTCTCTTGCTTTTTTTCTCCACAAACTGAGTTTTTCATCCATTCAAACTTCAATCTTAATCTCTGTGGCTGCAGTCTAGAAAAACACATAAGCACCAGCCTAAATTTCCCAAGTCCCGCCCAACCTCACTGGTTTCACTGAGGTGACTCCTGTGTGTTGGGGTTTTGCTGGATCAGTGCAGAAGCTTTTTGTATTTTTTCTATCAGGAAAAAACAGTAACTTTATTTACATGCAAGCTGCTTTGTGACAGATCCAGTGAGATGCTTACGGGAGAACAGACACATTTGTTTAATGCTGTTGTCCCTCTGTTGTAGGCTACTGCCCTTCCAGCGTAACAGACTAAAATTTCTTCTCTGTATTTGAGCACAGAAGTTAGATTAGCTTATCCTGACACAGTTGGCAGCTTCTGCACTGAACGCTGAACCTAAACCCAGGTCAGGCTGAACACCCATAAATACAGGTTTAAACTTGGGAAAAGGCTCTAAAGCACTGAACGCTCAGTAGGGGAGTATGGCCACAGGGGCGTGTGCTTACCATGCTTGGACACACTCAAAATAAAGAAGAAAGTGTATGGTCGGGGTTAAAAGCAGTGACTTCTAATTCCGACTCAGCCAGTGGCTTTGGTATGGTCCTGAACAATTTACTTGCCTCTTTTGATTTCTTTCCCAATCTATAAAAAAGTGGGGATATAGGAGCAGAGAAACTACTCTGGAGCTAGTTTTCCACTTATCTGAAACACGAGAAATATTCTCTACATGCTGATTATTCTGAAAAATAAATTATAAAGTCAATTTTCATTTGTTCCAGAAGACTCAAACCTAAGGAATACATTTATTTTTTATTTTATAACTGGAAAGGTTTTATTGTTTGTTTATTTTTATTTCAGAAGTGAGGCTTACCGGACTCATGTAAACTCCTTGGTGTACATCTCCAAACTGTCCTTCACCAATGCAGCGCCCCAGTTCAATTCTCTCCCTTTGAATTTCATAATCTCTGGCTATAAGAATATAATGCACTTAAAATATCAAATTTCTGATGAAGGGCAAAGAAATAATCCGCAAGATACGAAACTTGGAAGTAAGTCACTCAAATGTCTCACATATGAATAGCTAAGATTAACATTTGCTGCACACCAACCTATAACAAATGCTGTATACACACAGTGGAAACCTCTTAAACAATGTTTGAAACAAAGCAATGAAAAAGGAATTGTAAAATCTAATTTGCCAAGTTAACTACTATGCATTATTTATTTCAATGCACTAGACATAATTGAATCCTTCTTAATTGTAGCTAGTAAAAGACAAAGAACACAAATAGCCTAGGGCAATACTGATGGTATTAAATACAGCCTTAGCACATATCCCTTTATATGTTTAAGAGAACTCCACTATGTGGTATTTTAGATTTGGGAACCATCAAATGAGCCCGGAGAATTTTTAAAGAGGTAACTGCAAGAAAAAATACAAAAACAAGAGCATGGCAAATAAAGATAAAATGAAGAGCAAAATTTTGAGTACACTACACCTCTATCAGTGTGTAACTGAAGTGAAATTGGTATGTGTTGTGGACTTATGCAATTTTGTTAAGTTGGTTGTTTAATAGACTGAGAATATTACTGATAAAAATGGCTCTGTACTTCAGCAAAACATTTAATCAATTGCAATGAATTACTTCATTTGCAATTTAATTTCTAGCAGACATGGAAAAATATTTCAGGAATAGCAGAAAAGCATGTAACGTATATGTTTTCACCTCTACTTGTATTATTCAGAGGAAAAAAATATAGTCAACCAGCTTAGGACTTCATGACTGATGATTTTGACTTCATTTACACTACAGAAATAATGTCATCTAGAGCTGGATAACAAAGTGATAAATGCCTTTTCATTTCTTTTTTTAAGTACTGCATTTTCCTCTTTAAAATCCCAAAGCTAACTGGTTTAACTATAAATAAATAATGTTTATTAAATGAAAGTGAATAGTAAACTTAAAAATTCCACATCATTCCAAATTGCAAGCATACAGGGATGGGTAAAGGGTCTCCTGTTACCTTCATCTATTCCATAGCTTTCTGCAGTGCAATTAAGAGAAAAATCAAATGCTTACTTAAGATATAGCTTCTTAAAATCAAGACAAGGACAAACATTTTTTAACATTGTTTTCGAAAAAGAAGAAATACACTGATGCAATTTTAAGTTTACATTAGCAGAAGTCACAGGTCTGTTCTTGTGATCTTTACTGACCCAGTCCTTTGAGAGCTGAACACTTGAGTCCACTTCAATCCAGCAAAGCACTTAATGAATTTCACTACAACAGCCCATCTCATGGGCTTTGAACTGAAGGCATACTTAAGCGTTCAGCAGCATCCAGGGCTGGGCCCACAAGTAATTACTTCCATGAGAATTTAAATGAAAAGATGGGGGGGGGGGGGGGGGGGGGAAATGAAGTATCACACAACATTGGTATGTTAACAAAAAATAAAGGATATGCTTTATCACAGTACTTTTTGATCCTGCAATTATTTTAGTAGAATCGTGTAGTGACTTACTGCAAGACATTCAAAACACATTGTTTATTTCTGGAAAACATATATTCTTGCTTTTCAAATATTTATGTTCAAATATATATGTTTTTCAAAACATATATTCTTGGTTTTCAAATATTTTCCGCAGTAGTGGAAACTGTTGTAAACACTGAAGCGATCATGAAACATTCCTGCCACACGGTAAACTCCAGAAATCCTTACATACATTCATGTCTCCTCGCAGAACATGGTACCAGGTTAGGACCATCCTCCCCTCTTACACTAGCCAACCCACGTTCTTGCAGCTCTGCGTATCAACAGATTGTCTACTTCTAGAGAAATCCCTGGTTGCCAACATGCAACTGTAGTTTCGCAGACACAACTTTTGAAATCAGAATACTTTCATGTTAAATTAGACAGACTTGACAGTTTAAGATTATAATATAATTCAAAAATGCCGTAAGACAAAATCGTTGCGGTGGCTAATGCATCATTTTTTTTACTTCAAAGATGAAGACTCAGAAGAACTTTGAATTTTGGGTTCCTAAAGTCTTTCATCTTTAACAAAATTGCATGTGGTACAGGTGACTTTCCTCTATCATGCAATTTGAAAGCAGCGACTCTGTCATAGAGCAAGGGCAAGATACAGTTAGACAGCAATGCACAGAAGCTTTCCAAATTGTTTGCTCTTATCACAGAAATCTCATCCATTCTTTCTTTAAGTGTTGTGTTCAGCACCACAATCAAAAAAATCTACATTTTGAGACCTAAAAGGAATTTCACTGTGAAGTCACCGACAGCAGCAAAACAGAATTTTATTTGCCTCAAAACCTGAACTTGAAAAACACTGAATCTACGAGTTTTCAAAACATCATAAAGAGTATTTTCTTTGCACATATATTACTTAGGGCTGAAATATAAGATTCAGTCCCTGCTAAACCAAAGCAGCTTTCAGATAGAGAAGTTCCCAAGTTAACCACCATACTTACTTGATGGCATTGTATAAGTATCTTCTTCATCTATAATCTCTGCATAGTCATCTGTCTCTGTAAAGGGAGGAATTGAAGAGTTTCGGGAAAAGCAGATGAAAACAATTCTCCAGAACAGTATCTCCAATTTATCAAGGCTGATATGTCACAACCCCCAACTTCAACATTGCTGGGACGCATTTACAATAGCATGAATAAACTTGCTCATGCATAATTTATGGTATGATAATGACCTCAGTGCCAATTATACTACGTCACATAGATGCATTCAACAAGGAATAAAAGGAAGATTCATCTGTATTCAAAAAAGTTCACGTTCTGTAATTGAAACCTATCTAAACTGTTGACTTAAAAAGAAAAATCTTTTTAACAGCAAATTCCACTGCAGTAAGGAGAAAACATAATTAATGGATTAAACTGTTTTACCTTCAATAAACTGTGAATAATAGTTTGCTAGGGTTTTTTTTTTTTTTTTTGTCAAACAGGCAAACTAGACAGTAAAGATGTTCCAGGGCAGCATTGACCTACTGTCAGTGTGGCAAGGTGACTTATTTTCCATAGTCTTCTAGAGCATAAAGATCTTTTAAGTCACACCATCAACTAACACCCATTTTTCTTGCATTAGTCTCAATCTTCCTCTCACAGACAGCATTTGAAAACAACCAGATCACAAAATTTTCTGAAAAATGATAATGCGTTTCTTCCTCTGTTTAAAACTTAGGGCTTTTACATCATCTGTTCTCAAAATGCTTTAAATGGTGTCAAGTCATATCAGAGGTCCCTCTCTTGCTCTAAAGAGCTTCCGGTGTGCGTGGGTCATTTCCTAAAGGCCAGATAAATTCCTCCGGCGGTTACAAAACCAGTCCACAACAGCGAGATAATTTTTCACTGCAAGGCTGTTAAATTCTACTCACCAACTTTAAATGCATAGAGAGGTTCTCAAAATTGAATAGTATCAACTTCAGTATGCAGTTTTCATGGTTGGTTTCAGGTGGCCACATATTGGACCCACCTCCGAGAGGCATGATTTACTCCCCCTTTCTCCCCATCTGCCCTGGAGCATATGTATATCCCTGCAACTCCCTGGCATCATTTCTAGAGGTATGGCTTCTGAACAGTGAACGGGACAAAGCCACAGTGAGGCTGGGAAGAAGGATGGGATAATGCATTTTGGCAGCAGCCCTCAGTTCAACCAACTCAAGCCAACTCTGAAACCAGAGCAAGGCTCATAAATATTATACACACACATAAACAAGAGGCTTCATTTTCATACAAACTGAATATTCAACAGCTAGAAAACTACAGGTTGCCTATAACCTTTGAAGTTCAACACACTTCAGTGAGTAAATGTAGTTTTTCTAACTTTGTACTACTTAAGTAAAATTAAAGCTATTTTTCTTTCATAATCCTTTAGGAGTATACCGTGTCTTGTAAAGACAGAATCAGGAAATTCTATGCCATCTACATTTTTGCTTGGCAATCTCTATCTAGGACACAGCAAAACAGAATCACCTAATGAAAATTCATTTAGTTATAAAGACAGTGCACAATTCTAAACAGGCAGCATACTCCAGAGGCACTAATCTCTTTCTTGGCATGTTTTTTCCTCCATACGTTATAAACTAATTTTTTCCTAGAAAATAAGCCCCAGATTGATCTAAAAAATAAGCATCCATTTGAAAGAAATTATTAGCGTGACACCAATGTGATGGGAATAAATCACTCTGCTTCCTTGTAATATTGTGGTAAGATGTTTTTAACTTTCGTTAAGTGTGATATATATCAACTATTGTTACATGCTAATATTTGAGGATACCAGAAAGTTCTTCATCTATGTAAAAAAAAAAAACCCAAACTAAACCGACTGAATGAAAGATATTGTAAACATATGTGAGAAGAATTTAAAAAGTTTGAAAACTAGAACTGGTGCCACACTGGTCTTTAAAAAACCAAAACATTTGTCACACTACATTATGGAGCAGTGCTTACAAAATGTGATAAATGGCTTGGCTTGTTGATCTCTCTATTTTAAATTAATGAAGCTAATTCATAATAAAAACATTACTGTAACACCGTAGAGCACTTTACATGGTTTTGATACCTTGCCTAAAACCGTCCTGAAACTAAAAGGGTCTTCAGTAGCCAATCCAAATAAATTATATGCATGCAATTAACTAAACAAGTATTTTTTGTTACACATTTGACACTCTGGAGTGGAATATATAATAATCCCATACATGTCTGGCATTGTTTCTGGGAATTAGAGGAAAATTCAATCAAGGCATTAATAGTGATGTGCTCAAAGTGTTCTGCAACAAAGATAACTGACCTCTCTCACATACAGTCTTCACCCCACGATTAGAGTCACATAGTACAAGACTGTTACCAAGTCTGCTAAGACCATGGCTGTCTGCTAAGAGATATTCCAGAATCCATGCAGAGTCTAAAGCAAAACTCAGCTGGGCAAGGCTCTCCAGGCTGCTTTATGAAGAAGGATGTCCTATAGCAGTCTCAAGAGCTAAACACTCACAATAGAGCAGCAATTCCAGGAGACGTTCTATCTTCAAGGCCCTTGCTAAGTCTAGAAAAAATAATATTTAAAAATAGGGCTCATTACTGCTGCTCCCTCGCACGTTTTGAAACCTGCACTGAGCCTTTTCACCTGTGATCAACCCTAGATGCTTCTAGATGGAAAAACAAATAGGTCGCTTTTGGACAAAGATACAGTGTTGGTGGTACAGGTGAATGAGCCAATTTGAGCTTTACTAAATCTACTTTATTAAGCACTAGAAAAAAAACATCCTGGGATATTAAATCCATAATAGCTAAGCCATGACCCTAACCGCCTGTTTGAAATTTCTCTTTTCATGATTTTTTCCCATTTATCAGAGCCCACCATTTATAAAAGATAAGCACCAATAAAAAGCTATGTAGGGTTAGTATCTGAAATACAAATTCTGAATTTATGACAGAAAAAATGTCCTTTGAGGTTTTGATGTTTAAGAAAAGAAAGAAAATTGGGGTAGTATTATCTTTGATTTATATCTGAAGGAGAGAAAGGAGATGAAAAGTTATACACCCCCCCTTTACATTTTACAGAGAGGTAGGCCACAAGACATTCTCTCTATTTCTTCTTATCACCTTTCTTTGCATACTTTTTATGAGCTTCTAGTTCCTCCCATTTATTAGAAAAAAAGATACATACACTGTCAGTAGTAGATTTTTTTTCCAACATCAGATGGAATCCTTTAGAATAATAGCTAAGAATCTCTTTAAAAACAAAACCGAAACCCAGCTTGTTTTCAGAGAATAGCAAGTCAATATTTTCTAGAAAAAAGACTTATAAAATCTGGAGAAGTTAAATATTTTGTAATAAGTTTTGAAGAAAAACATTAAAATCTGTCTTTAAAATTAGCAGTTTGAGTAGTGAAACCTGATTAATATTTCATGTATTCAATCTACATTAATCAATCCTGTACAGCTTCTTTTTATGCAAAGAGCAGTTGTGGACTACAGAGCACTTTGATGCTACAATGCCTTTAAAGCATCGCTTAGTAGACTCATTTCTCACATATTGCATCCATTGATCTCACCCACTGACCAAAAAAATGCTGTGATACAACCATTTCAGTCAAACTGAACAGACACTCTTGCAAACCTATAAACCTTCTTTGCATCATGCCAGAACTCTCATTGCAAACGCATGCAATACCACATCCCTGCATGTTTGAAATAGTTTTTCCTTTTTCAGCTCCAATTTAGCAGAAAGTGTTAGTTGCACAGCCTGTAAAGTACAGCATTTATTGGCTAATGTCCAAAGCAGACTGCTTTTTAATACTAACATCTGTATAAAATTTATTACTGAAATGTGCATTAAGTGGTATATGGATATAAGAGTTGCATATTGCACGTTAGTAACACACAGACTAGAAAACATATTACCGTCCCCACTAATTTCATCTGCAGATCCAGGTGGCATGCAAGGAAAGAGAAAAACAGAGGGGGAGAGAGAAGGGACAGAGAAGGGGGAGGGGAAAATATACTATTAAATTCACGAGTAATCCAAAAGCGTTCAGACTGCAGTTATATTATACCTGACTCAAGAGAAACCAGAAAAGTAGCAGAATTTAAGACTTCTCACCTAAAACCCAAGGGATAAAGGTATGTTCTAAGAAGCTTGTACGATGAAACAGGGTTAACAACTTTCAAACACAAATTTGCACAAACGTTAAATTTGGGAGTGGAACTGTTTTAATGCATTGTTAAGAAATGCCAATTTCTGGTTTAAGTCAATACTTCACTACAAAATAAATTTCCTGCAGCCAGATGAGTCAGTTCAATTTGACTTTTCACACACGCTTATGACGTTGGGTAACTAGAGTTGGTGTCCACCCTTTCAAAGGAAATGCACCCCTGTGCTACTGCTAAGACATGGGCGATAAATGGAACCATCTAAGTATTAATTATACAGAGCACATTGCAGTTGTACAAAGCTGAAATTTCAATGAGTGGCAAACAGAGCAACTCTACTGGGAAGCTGTTCAAATGAGCATCATATCCCGCATTTATGGTAGCAGCCCTATTCCACACCAATACCCACAGCACAAGCTGATGGACTTTAGACATTATTTATAAATAAAAGGAAAATGAGCATTAATGTTGTAAAAGTAATGCACCTATTACTCCAATTCTTCTTACCCCTAACAAAGCCAAACTGGTCCAGACCAAATGCTGAACCAGTATGCAGCCAAAAGCATCACTGTATTCAGTATTGAATTCAAAGTGATCTTAGCTGATGCTTGTTGTTGCTTTTCTATTTCATTCATAAGCATGCTGTATCAGGGGTCCAAGAATGAAGCAAAAATATATTAACCAAAACCCCCATAGGTATAAAGGGGCTGCACAGCTATACAAATGAAATCATTAATATGTTTGTCATTGTAGAATACGATGCTTAAAACTTAGTCCCCCATAAAAACGGGGACCAGCAAGTTTGCGACACTGCACGAAAATCCAATTCAATAGCAGGAAAGGGGTAGAAGAAATTTAATTAAATTATTCTTGGAACTCTGTTTACTGGAGGCTGAAGTAGTAAAAAACCAGTAACTGCGTTAGTATATTCAGCTTCTGGGTTAATAAGGCAGCCTATACGAAGAGCAGTGCAGTACCCTTAGGCGGCGGCTCATGGGAACAGAAGACGAAAGGGAGAAAGCGTCTAGCTTTCTTTACTTTATGCTGACAGTGATTGACTCCTTTACAAAGAGGCAAGAAAAGGAAAGAGAAAAACAGAAACAAATTATTTGGAAATAAAAGAAAAGAGACTGGAAAGAACATCTACAATGAACGAACGTAAAAGTAAAGGTTTACATTACAATTCTGTATACACAAATGGATATATGAATGTTGTTGAAACTCTAAAGCATATCTGGTATTTTCCTTCAAATGCTTTTCTACAGCAAAGTTATTCTTATTTCAATTTTTAAAAGTGAGACGAGACTCTATTAAAAAGTCAGCTTTTGCCAATTATATGTACCATCCATCGACAACGCAAAGAATATTGTCTATCCCAGAAGCGTAACCTGCTTTTGCAAGCTCCCCATCCAAGTTCTACTAGACTGTGCTATAGCTAAACTCTGATTTAAGTGGCAGTCACCAGACTTAAACATGGACATATTGACTTTCTGGACCTTTAAAAGAACTTAATACAAACCAAGTATTTCACATAGCAGGGTTACACAGAACAAGGGAAAACACAGTTTCTCTGTCCCACTGAAATACAATGCAGACGTATTTTATGATCTGAAATCTGCCGCTGCGGTTTTATCCCCGGCGCAGACCTGTTTTGCCAACTGCTATTCTAGCTCTCCAAGGATCTCTGGGCAAACGCCCCATGGTACTGTCCTCACTGTCCCCTTTCCTAGTCACCCTACTGCATTTAATTAGCAAAGCGCTTATCAGGAGAAGAGAGATTTTTGAGTAGGAGAAAATACAAAGAAGCCACAACTGATTTCACACGGTGAGAAAGGAGGACACAAGACAACACTAATAACCTGAGGATAGCTGCTCCTTTTGTTTCTCTTGTTACCTGCTTTCCTCTTTCCCCTCCCTCCTCTATCTCAGGAAATGCAAGAGGGGGTTTTAAAAGCCAATCAACTGAAACCCCACACCTTGTTGCTGGCAGTCCTTCACAGGGAAAACTCAAGAGTGAGGTCCAGCCACCTTGAGTTATACAGGCTGGAGCTACAGGTGTTAGAAGAGAAGCCCAATAGCACAGAAACAGCACGCTGGCACAGCGTACTAGTCAGCGGTGGGAGGAGTGGCAGAAGGGCAGAAAAGGAGAATTACCCTTCAATAAAAATAACTTCACATTTTTCATAGATTCTGGCAACCTAAGAACCATCAAAGCAGCTACATTTACATAAAAGCACCACCTCATACACAGTCATGCAGTTTTTAGTGGCCAGATTTTGACGGATAATGTGCAGAATTTTTTTAAAGGTGTATTAACTGTGTACAATCGCTGTCCAATCTAGAGGCTGCATGTTGGATTTCATGCCTGCAAATCTAATGGGCAACGCTCTACTACGTACAACACGTTCTTTGCTAAGATGGCGATTTTAGGCCAAAGTTAAAACAAGTGGGTGAGATTTATCATCGTATCCTAAACAACAAAAACGTACCATTACAAAAACTGCTGGGGTGATTAAAAAAAAAAGATAAATCATTCATCAATTGTGAAAATTTATACGCCATTGAAAATGACAGAATATTAATCAGCTTCAATGCTAAAAACTGAGAGAGGTGCAAGGAGTGGGCAAAATTACTGAGTGTATCAGTTATTTCCATGTATACCATATTACTGCATTCCTAGGGACCCATCTAACATCACATAGCACAATTTTCAGTGCTATCATTCTAACACAAACCTGAGGTAACATTCATAAAAAGCTTCAGACATAGTATGCAAGAAAAGAAAAAAAATACTACAGCTATTTTAAGAAGCTACTGAAAAGGTACTGAAATGAGAATAAAGGAATCCGATACTCCGTACTGAAACAGAAGAACAGGTATAGAATCACTGGAAGCAATGCAAGCTGTCTAAAAGGGAAGACATGTTTCAACTCTTGACCTGTCTGCTGAGGCTACAAAGCTAATTTAAGCTTGAAATGCTGTTCACTCTTACATTGATACATGGGTAGCAGAAGCTGACTGAAACCTGACCAACCTGTTTCATACGAAGGGCATATTGAAATGACAAAGGTGTGTTTAATTCATCACATACGTGTCCTGATGCCCTGCGATACTCAGTCCAACTTGTCTTCTGCACTTCGAACTTTGCCTTTATGATTTACTGCCTAAAGTTTGTTCAACTATTCTGCCAGACTAAATGGAAGGCTTTGTCTGAAACTTACCACACCTTCTAGCTACAAAAGTAAGTCTATTTAGGTAAAGAGTTAATTCTAAGTTTAAAAGAAAGAAGTTCCAACACCTTTTCAGGAGCTTAGAGAGTACCTGCTTGAAATGAATACTACTTAGAAGGATTTCCACTATTCCACACCAGCTTCCAGCCAGGATATCACTGGTGTCTACCTAAATGCCCATAAAGCTCAGAAATGCTGCTGAAAACTGCTCTGGACTTCTTTTTTTCTATTTAGTTCCTCTTCTCAATACTAAGTACTCACGAGAATTATTGTGTAGGAAAAGAAAAAAGAAAGAACAAATTGCTTGCTATGCAACAGACTACATTAGAAAGGAAGCGACCAGGCTAGAGGGCAGTTAGTACTGGAGCTCCTCGTTAGGATTGTATGAGTAGGGAACCAATACTGGAAAGCTGAAACTGGTAATGCCCCATTCTATTTTAGCCGTACATTCCTGAACCGGTTTGAGGAAAAACCCTGAAAAAAAAAAATCTATAGAAGGAATAAATCTATTTGTTTTCAAGCTTTTTGAAATAAAATGAGCACTATGCAGTTGTCACATCAAGTATGTTTATACATAAACAACAAAACCCCAATCCTAATACTGCATAGAATATTTCTTCAGTCATACGACAGTGTTATTAGGAGCAGAGCAGAAGTGTCTGCTCAAATCAAATGAACGGATCACAAAGGGGGAGCAGAGGAGGGTAAGAACTCTTGAACGAACAACGCAGACTGATGAAATGAATGCAGTAACTTCCTAGGCACTAATACGGAGGAAATCTGTTTGGACTGTCACCACAGTTCATGCTGGTCGTCTTACGCGTGAAAATAAGCATTTTAGTCAGTGTAAAATACAAAAAGATAACACCACCAGTCTATTCAACTGTGATGGGAATCTGAAATATTGTAATTTATTAGCATTAAGGGTATTTTTAACTATATTATCTTCCTAATCAGTAGAATAGCTGGGTGAGTTAAGAAGCTAGTAACTCCCTTTGTGAGCTTGGAGACTAATGACTTGCTCAAGGCTTGCAAAATTAATCTGCAGTAAACCTTAGGCTTGAACGTCTCCCAGTCCTGTGACCATATGGTAGAGCTACAGCTGTACAGAGCCTTTATATTCCTCCAATTACTTAAGAATTTGAATGTATAACTATGTAATTTAGGCTAAGACTCTTAGTCTTTCTTTTCAGAAGAAGTGAGCTGTAGAGTATGACATAACTGAGCTAGCAGACAGTCATAAGCACTCAAGATACAGTTTTTCATCTTAAAAATCTACTTATACTTTTCAGCACTGTCTTTCTGGAATTGACTTGATGAAATGAACATGAAAAAAACCCCAACTTTACAACCTCAAGCAAAGAACACTTTTTTCCCCCTACCAACTAATTCAAATGGAACTAGGAAATACAAGTCCTACACAAGAAACTCTTTCAGAGTTGAGCACAGGGCAGACTTTCATTTTGAGCATAGGAATCATGAAACAGAGCATGCACTGTGCTTTGCAAGCAGAAGTGATTCAGTAAAATTGTATTTGTCTTTCCATCCTTGCTCACAGCTTTGCTTGTGATTAGCCTGCACCATTCACCCATATACATTCAGGTCCTTTCATATGCCAACATCTCCTTCATTAAGAATGTTTTTAAGTGTTGTAATACTGAAATCAGGTGAATATATTTGTTACTTTTTTTCCTCTCCTGTTCGTTGCATTTTGACATTTGGCTCCTGCTGTATTTCAGTTTGTTCTAGGTAACCTACTGGAAGTCTCTCTCACAGATGAACTGTACCGTACGTTTTTTTCCTGCATGCTAAAATCTCACTTAAGTCATGCTTACCTCTTTCAAAAGAGACATTTTTTCATTCAAATTGCAATTTCAGCTAAATACGATGACTAAATTGGCAACTACTTTAAACAGGATCTGCTCACAAGTAGCACCTTAGAGAAGAACTCTCATGCCACTTCACTGCCATGACTGGGAGTTAACCACAGTATGTGATGTAAGTGTAATGATATTACACTATAAATGTGTGATTCTAAGGCAGAACCTGGAAACTTGCTGTGAAGCCCCTCTTTCAGGATGCTAAAATCCTTCAGTTCCTCTAAGAAAGCTCTCTCCAAGAGACCCAATTTCTCCTTTGCAGGGCATGTTACTGGATAGATCTAAATCATGGGGTGCAATTACTATTTCTTACAGAGTCACTATAAGCAAACAAATTTTCTCTTTTTCCACTGTAGAGAGGCAATGGCACACCAGCATTAGAAATTTATGCCATCACATTACCATGTACTTACAGCTACATCCCTTTTGACCTTAAAATGTTACTTGTGTAGTAACAACAGCCACGCCAGCTAGGGAACAAGACGACAAACAAATTTCTCTTTAAGATACCTATTTCCCTATTAAAGACATATAGTCTGTTACTTAGATGGCTTGAACAGCCTGCCTTAACATCTGAAACAGCGATGGTATTTTTAAACACCTTTCAATTTCCTTCACCAAATAAGCACAAACTAAAGCTGGAAAACCAGCACCCACTGTGAACGAAGACCAACCCTGTGGCAGGCCCTAAAAACCCTCTTCAAGCACATGGCCGGTGCTGGCTCCGGCAGAACGGCTCATCTTCTTCCTTACTGTCATCTTTCCAGTTACAGCTCCCTCCCCACAAACACGTTATTTTATTCAGCAGCACCTGAATGTTCAAATGCCAAGAGTAACTGCTTAGAATCACAGAATCATTTAGGTTGGAAAAGACCCTTAAGATCGAGTCCAACCATAAACCTAACGCTGCCAAGATCTGTTCAATACTCTGCTTGTTCAATACTTGCTGAAACAAGTGGGCCTCAAATGTCATATTCTGTAGCACTGCCTGTATAGTAATGTTTGAGCTACGATTAAAGATTTATGTCCACAGAATTCTCTAGTGCAAAGGAGGCACAACGATTAGCCAAAGGATGCAAAAGCGTATTTATTCTTCCTAGTCATATTTATATAAGCGAGGTTGGGGCAGGAGAAACCAAAGAACTCTCTATCAGAAAGAATTTATGTAAAAAGGGAGCAAGTAAACTAAGGCTTTATTTGATTTCATTTTATGAGGAACTTTTTATAATATATAATTGACTAGGTAAATTATTATTTTTGGAAATATATGTATCAGGAAATATGTGCATCACCTTACTAAGGCTAGTACTTTTGCTATACCAAAACAAACCGCTGCCCAAAATAAGTTCCTGTAGGCTAGAGTAGAGCATTTTAATAAGGTGACTCCAAGCAACACAGGAGGAAATCTGGTCAATGAAATTATAGTAAACTGGTATGCTGCTTCTTATAAATTTGATATACTATTTACACACAGCAAATGCTTTAGCCTCACTGTTAACTGAGTGTACACTCTTGGCTAAGTACAAAGAATTCTTTTTTAGTGTAAAAGACAGAAGTAGAGGGAGAAGGAGATAAAAGTTGGAACTACCTATTAGCCAAAACACTCATTGCTTCTCGTGAATCACAGTAACTTAAATCAAAACATCAGATGTATACCAAAGAAATCTGAAATCCAACTCATTTAATTTGGCTTCTTATTTATATTTCTTTATAACCCTACACACAAATTAATGTAAAATTTGAGGGATAAAATTATTACTATGCTTTAAAAAACAGGGGAAATCTGGCAGGCATCTTACTTGCACACAAGTGAAAGACAGTGCCCACTGCAAGAAACACGTAATTTGAAGAAGCAAGGCAGACAAGTAATACCAAAAGAAACAGAAACAGAAGCATGCACTAAGAGGTGTGTGGTGAAACCTGGTTCAGTGACACACAGCCGTAAGAGAACACCTCTTGGCTCCCAGGTCCAGCAATCTGCTGCTTTGGGTTCTTGAAACCAACTTCACCCTTCACTAGTTTGAAAAGGCCTTTATTTGGGGGGGGGAGGTATTTAAAAACCTTCTATCTTTGTATTCTTTGGAATACTGAAACACTTGGAAAGAACAAGTTTTCATTTCACTAAATCAGAAATATTTCAAGGTGTGTTAATAAATATCTCAAAAAGAAAGACAAGGCGTCTTTCATTAACAGGCTAATTTTTAAGCCTACAAAACTTTAGACAAATACCTGAACTTTTAGACCACCAAATCATGTTCCACACTGTTTTTTGGCTATTGCTGGTTTCCCCAAAGTCTGGCGGGGAACTCACTGTGAAACGTTCCTTTAGAACAAAGGGTATTAATACTATAAATATGTTTGACTGCTTAATGTTCCTGCAGAATGTGTGTCTGCTGAATGTGTGTCTCAGATTTTTGCTATTCAGCTTTAGCATTGGAAGAGTTTTAAACAAAGGACAGCAATCTCACTGAAAACAAACAGCGGAGTTAATTTATGATTTACACCATCAGAGGCATGAAGGACATTACAGCTGTCAGTAAGTTATAAAAGCTCGTCTTATTTGAAGCCTTTAGCTCTAAGTCATTTAAATGTCACCAGAGAAAAGCTCCTATTCTGCAAACCAAGATAGCATCACCCACAGCTGGCTTTGCACTGGATGCTGTCAGCTGTCAGACTCTGCTGACCTGTAACTCTCGGGTTAACTGAACATTATGTACATCTGTTGCCTCCGTTGTTCCATACTGATGGATCAGTTACATGTGACAACAGGACTGACACTTCTTCACATCTACATACAGTATTACTTTGTTTATAACAAGCTGATTCCTTTGGGGACTCAGAGATTCTTACAGAAAGCACCTCCCGAGGAAAAACCCTTATCACGCAACTTCATCTCAGCAGCCTGTCTGCGGTTTAAATTTAATATACTGACATCCATGCCACACTCGATGCATTTCAAATAATTTTGGGGCCAAAAACCCAAACCAACCACAAAAAAAAGTATGTCAGTGTTCAATGTACCCTTAGTAGAAAGAAGAACCCTTGAGAATGAATAATAAATGCAACAGCTTGAATCACTCCAGTATTATGTCAGTGTTTCCAGTGGTTTGTAACACGGTATAAAAAACAAGAATCGAGCACAATAATTTCTTTGTGGAAAGATACAAAACCTTACTCCAGTACAAGAAAAACACCTAACTGGTTTTGATTTCAGCATCGGAAAGAAAGGGAGGGACATTTGCTGGTGTAATTTGATTGTTTTGCTTTTATGACACCAGGAGCCAGGTTTGTGCCTTACAGCTTCCTTGACATTCACTTGGAACAACCAGCTCAGCTCCAGCGCTGCTGCTTCTGTTTCTGCTGTGGTCCTACAGCAAAGCTCTCACTTGCCCGTCATTCACCTTTATGTGACTCCAGAGTTATGTGGTATTACAACTGAATTCACCATTAATATCAAAACACTACTTCAAAAGCGTAGAGGAGAAGCAAGTTTGTGCTCTGAGACGCAACACTACTGATGCGTCAAATGCATCAAGCAAAGGATACCTAAATTCACAAAGTCAAAGTGACAGCAATAAAGGAACATGAAATAAGCACTTATTACTGCTTTTAGTAGTAAAAGTGTATCAGCATTCTTAGATAAAACTCAAAGGGTGAAGATATGAGGTGGCAGGGGAGTATGACTATTTTGTCCTGAAGATTAGCTTTTTTGGTGTGAGCGATTAAAAAGCACAGCACTAATCACTTAAGAAATGTCAACTTTTTGTACCAGCTAAAATGAGCCACACAGTAAGAATCAAGAGAGAACATGCTGACCATGCTTCATGCTTATCTACCTTATCTACCATGCTTGCTTGATAGGTACTGAAGGAAGAAGAGCTGCTATTTGACTCTGAGAGGTAACAGTAACTGATGAAGCTTTATTACACCTCTGCAGCTTGATACATATTTTAATTCCAGATCCTCTCATCTATTTTCTTGCACAAGGTCTGTTTACTTGGGCTTCCTATGCCAAGGGGTGAATCTCAAACATCTTTCAAA